AATGTGGTTGGAATGCCCATGGAACAACAAGATAGAATGCAAGATTAAGATTTTTCTAAACTTAGGCAATTCCAAAGAGCAGGTGTTTTCAAAGTGATGCTTAAATTAAGCATTTTAGAGAGTCAGTCTATTGAATTTTAACTCATATATTTGACTTGTATGAATTGTACAATCCAAGTAAGGTTCATGATAACAAGGACAAGAAATAGTGTGGCACATACAATATGCCTGTGCATCAGATATTAATTGCTGCACTGAGATCAGAGCTGATTGGCATAGTAGAGAAAAGGCTGTGGCACTGAAGTCATTTTTCCATATTTTGTCTTAAATGAAGTTGCAGAAGATTTAGGAGTCTTTTTCCAGGAAAATAAATTGTGCAAATTCATTTTCATGAGGTAGGTTTCATATCTAGAGCAGCAGCAAAACATTAGCTTTCTTTGCTCCTATACTCTCCATATCAAATTAGCAATTGTAGATTAAAAAAAAATTAAGGACTACTGGGATTTGGTCCTCATGAAACACCCTCAAGAGCAAAGTATTCCTGCTCAAAGACCAGAGTCACACAGAATGGCAAAACCCTTCTGTTCTTGCAAGATGACATCTGGGGTTGTGGGGGGGGGGGTTGCCAATTTATTCATCAGTGCAACATAAACATAGTCTCTGCAGCTGCTTCACTTTTTTCCCTTGTCCATCATTCATCAGAGATTTCCCTGCCCTCTGCTTCTTCCCGTAGGCCTCTAATAGAATAAGCTTGTGAAAAAAAAATTCATTTTAACAAATGTTTGAAAACAGAAAGCTGTTTAAAATGCATGCACTTGCACTGGAACACTAACTTAACGATTTCATTGCATGCAGAATGAGATGACTGAATTATTAAACTGTGACAATCACAAGTTATGTATTGTTTTTATAAAAATTATTAAGGCTTCATAATCCATTTTATTAATTCTTGAAGCAGTGCTTGAGGTTCAAACTTCAAATGGTATCTGATTCCAGAGGTGAGCTTCCTTTTCTTTGATTATTAAATGCATTTCTAATTCACTGAATAACTAAAGTTCTCTGGGCAGATTACAAGCAGTGCTAGTGCTTGAGTTAGTTACAGCCAATTCTTCATGCTAATAAATAATTTTATTCACAATTAATTTCCCACAATATCAGGGACATTGCACTCATATTGTGCAATGTCCCTGATATTTTTATCTTCATTAATTGTGCTATATTCTGGCCAGACCAATGGGCATAACACCTGTGGGTGAGGAAGGGGAAAGGCTAAATTCACCTAAACAGCTATTTAATCCTTTTAAAAAATCCAGTTATTTAATACATGATTGTTATTTAGTGCATAATCTTTTAAATAAGATTTCCCATGACAATCCATTAAATGTCAAAGAGGAAATGGTTTCCTATTTATTCTGAATTGAAAGTATAGATAGGAAATAATGACTGTGAGCACAAAGGGTTTTTTCCCTTTTCTAACATTAGGATTATCATATTGTATTATTTCATTTAAGCAATATTCTACTTTTATTCTACTTTTTTAAATAGCCAGAAAATAATTTTAATAACCCAAGAATTGCTACACTGCATCAGACCAAAGGTCCAACTAATCCATCATCCTGTTCACCCAGTGGCCAAGCAGCTGCCACAGGAACCTGTGATTTTAAAAATAACAAGATTTTTAAATGGCATTCACTGGTGAGGTTATAGTGAATGTTTGCTAAACTGTGATAGGTTCACCTGCCCAATACATCACTGGCCATGTCAACCTCATGCCTATTTAAAAACGCATTAGAATAGTCCAAAGGCATCTACACCTGTGGAGACTGTGCTCCAAGTCTATCCTTCTCTTAAAAAGTCAGCCTTGTTTCTTATTGCTGAAAGATGGAAGAAGCAACAAGAAAATACAGAGTGATTGCAGATAAATAACAATCTTATATTCCATCACCATAAAATATGAGTGAATGAGGCATGGTAATTCTACACTAAGGACCTAGTGTGGAAGCAGCCTGCATTAGGTTAAGGGACACTTGCCCAAAGTCAGTGAGATGTATGTATGAATCAGTGATGAAAATTGATGGTGTAGGCAAAGTGTTTCTTGCCATATCCAGGCAAAATCTGATGGGGAACAGACAAGGATGTGACAAGGGAGTTAACTTTGACAAGGAAGTTATGCTAGTCTTCACTAGCTTCAATCCCCCTGAAAAATTTCTCCTGCTGAGAAAAGTTACTTTCAGTTGGCCCCAATGGAGAAATAGAGGTCTGGGGAATAGAACTGGGAGCCCATGGTCTGAGGCCTAACAATGTCCTGGATCTTGCATGTTTAAATCCAACACAGTGCTACAATGGTTCATTGACTAAAACAGTACTGTAAGTTTTGGGGGGCTGGTATACATTTTTGCCTCTGAATGGAAAGCTAGTAGGACATCAGCACTTGTGCCTATACCCATTCTTGAACAGATGAACTGACAGGCAGGGATTCAGTTCAGGGGCCTAGCTAGCTTTGGCCAAAGGAGATGATGACAGTCACAGCAGCCAAGGAGATCTCTGCACCAGAAGATCAGTGTGGGTCAGGTGGTACTCGCTGATGCCTACACAAAATCCTGGGTTAGACAAACGGGGGTCCTGCGGTTAGTGCATACTGAATATGTGCACCTTTGCCTTGATCCATTCTCTTGCACAGGTTTGATGCATGACCAAGATACACTGATCAGTTTTGCATGAATTTATGTTACAGTATGTTTTCTAAAAGTATTACAGAGCCAGTCTCCACAATAGATTTACTGCATCATGTGGAGGCTAGCTGATGGGGGAAAGAAAAGCAAGTGAGTGAGAGAATTACAAGGGTTAAGCAGAGAGCTTAGAAGATTTTTGAGAAGTGCATATGCATAGGGAAGAACGTTTTAGAAGATTCCCCATACCAGGTATCACTTCTTGAGATAAGAGGACAAGAAGCGTAAATGATAAGTTTCTGTTAGATTACAGGTAGTCTCCATGTTAAGAACGGTTCCTGAGAATGTCCTTCAGTCAAATTTATATATAAATCAGATCACATGAGTAAGCCAAATGTTTGTCTTAGTATATGTATATATTTTACCTTTCTATGCATATAAAACTTTTAAGAAACGCTTCCATATTCACTAAAACATCTCAAACACAATAGAGCACTGTAATAATGCTAATAATACAGTAATCGTAAAGTAACTACAGGTATTGAAGAAAGAGAGAGAGAGAGAGAATCTGTAGGTAGGTAGGTAAGTATACAGTACTGCAAAAAACAAATAAAAGAAACAGTTCTTAGAACAGTTTAGAACATTCTTGAGGTAACATTAACATTAGTGTTAACTAATGATGGAGATGGACCTGGTGCTGGAAAGTCAGGGTCTGACTGTGCTGCTGGAGAGGGGAAGGAGTCTAGGGTCCAGATGTTGGGGAATGATAAACCATGAATACCGTATCTCTAGGGAATTAAGTGGTCACTGATGATTCATCGCCCAATGCATTGCATCATTCCCTAAAGATTTTCATGGCTTTTCATATAGGCTTTATAGCAGTCCGCATGTTTGTAAGTACGGCTTGTTTGTGACCCAGAAGTTCATAACCTGGAGACGATTTGTATAGTATGTAACTATATCTTTGCATACATTAGGATCAAATGTGTATGTTTGTGATTGGTTAAAGTACACTCATGCTATATGTCATTGATAGACATATAAATTCTTTGTTCAAGTCTTTGTTTGGGGAATATGCTCTTTTTCTTAGCAGATTACTTGCTCTATAGAATAATAATAAAGCTTGCTCCAGTGAACTTCATGGCCCAGCAGGGAGAAGAACCCAGATCTCCCAGGTCCCCAGTCCTGCACTCTTATCACTACACAACAGTGACTCTGCAGCATATACCTTAGAATGAGGATGTGGAACCTTAGGATCAGGACTGATCCAAACCTCAAGGGGTCCCAAGCCAGCCCTCTGTGTTCCCCAGAAAGGCATGCTCTCTTTTCTTGCTCTTCCCTCTTTGCCTCACCATTGATCATTTGGTGGTTTCCCAGCATGAATGCAGAGTTCCCTCATTCTGAAAGGCTGAACTGTTTCCAGGGCTTCGTTGCTCCACAGTAAGGGTTTTAAATTGAAATGAGCTGGTACTTTTGGCCTTGCCCTTTTTGTTTTCAGTAATGTCATTGTTGGATGTGCCCCCCTTTCCACAGGCAGGAATTTGACACACTGGTGGCATAACACAAGTTATTTCCATTAATTAACATAAGTTAATAATTCCATAATTAATATAAATTTACATGAGTTCATTTCCATTAATTGCATCTCATTGTGATGATGAAAATTAACTCATGTGGAGTTTGGGGAAAGTGCTTCCTTCTTTCTATCCTGAACCCATTCTCAACCCACGTTATTGGATGAACCTGTGTTTTAATGCTTAAATAGAAAAATGTTTTTCTATCTTCCCTCTATGTATGATTCATACTTTACATAACACACACCTACAGAGTCTCCCTATCTCTATATTGACAAACCACAACTTCCCTAACGTAATCTCATGACGTGGATATTGGCTTTATGGATATTTGCTTGATATTTTATTTCATTCTTTATCCAATTAGAATTTAACATTAATAATGAAAACATGTTGGAGAAATGCTTAAGATGGTTCATATATATTAAGTTCTCTTTCAGAAAGTACCACAAGAAAACCATATAACTGTACTGGATTAAAGCAAGAAATGGTCTTTGCTGTGTATGAGAGGAATGTGCAAGATTCGTTTGTTGTGATGGCAAACACAACTTTGATCAGATTAAAATCTCACCTGTACATTTAATCAATAGTAAAGGGGGTTAGTAGGAAGCATGCTGCACAGTTTGGAGTTCTAGGAAACCATACTGTGGGTTTTGAATCTTACGATATACATATTGAAGGGGATTTAAATATCTTTATTTAAGAAGCCACTTACTCATGGGTTCACTTATTTCCTATTCCACCCCTGCTCCCACAGGCAGAAATGGTCAGAGCAGCTTTCCAAGCACAAAGAGAATTTCTCTTGTTGACCTCACGATATCAAGAACCTCAGGAGGTAAGAGATAAGTGGGAAAGGTGGTGGTATTTGTGATGTTAGACAGTGGTGCTTTATTGACCTTTCTGAACCCTGCTGATCTTCTGAAATTATATACAGCAACCCTGCATTCATGAGTGCTATGCAAGCCCTATATATTTAAAAGATAATTTATTGTGCAGACAAAAAAATAACAAAAAATGTACTTGGTTCTCATACTCCAGAGCACAATTAGAGAGCTCAGTGTCTTCTAGATATTTTGGACTACAACTCTCACAGTGCCTGACTGCTGGTTAGAGCTGATGGAAGTTGTACTCCAAAATATCTGGAGGTACCAGTTTGCGTATTCTGCTGTAGAGCATATGCCCTTCTGGATCTTGTACCACCACCACCGTGTAATTTCTCAGTTACTTTTTCATTGTTTTTTTCAGTAGTAGAAATTTGCTTTTCCATGACAGCTGCCAAAAAGTGAGCCTTTAAGAGAAAGATAAGCTGCAGGAAATCTGTGTTTGTGAAAAGGGGATGGTGAGACTTACAACCCCTATGCAGTAAGATCCTTGTCTTCTTTTTTGATTGTCCTCCGAGTCTTGCACATTTTGCATCCCCCATCCCCCAAGATTCTAGCTGCTCAGGAAAGTGCAAAAGTGCATTCCAGCCTATCTCCCAGCAAGCTGTCAAAACTCTGGCTCCCCTTGAATAGCGTTTTGATAAGACAATAAGCACTTTTAAACAGGGACATATACAGCCACCAAACTTGCACTGTATCAGTTTTGTGTCAAAATCTGTCTTTAAGGTCCTTTGTTCAAGAGTGGCTACCTTAAGGTCAGTGGCAGAATGTCCTGGGAAGATGAAGTGTTTTCCCACTGGTTTTGGAATATTGCCTTTGTTATAACAGAGCTGTGCACAGTTATTCTTTTGCAAAGATACTGGAGTGTTTTTCCTATGCAGAATGCAGCAGTGCATGTGGGTATGTGCCAATCTTGTTGTGTCTTCTCTGGGACTTCTATGATAAGAGTCTGTTAATCCTTTGTAATATCTTTAATGAATGCAAACACTATTGATGAATCAGCTTTAACCCATTCTCATGAACATGCAGAAGCAACTGGGAAGATCCCTTCTAGAATTTATTCAGTCATGGAAGAACCCTGCTTGATTAATATTTCGTGGTTGTTTTCTAGTAGTTGTAAAAATGGAAATGCTTTCCATTTTTCATATGGAATTACATTAAACTCAAACCATCATGTGAACTGAAAACAGCTGGAGATTTCTGTGTGCAACATTCATTCAGCATGACAGCTGTTTGAGTAGCATTTTCTATTGCAAATAGCATAAACCAAAGCAGTGAGATAGTTTCATTTCTCCATGTCAAAAGCAAGGAATATGTCCCACTGACTTCAAAATAGTGCACAGCTTGCAGATGACTTTCTACTGGATAAAAACCCCCTGATATATACAAGATAGCCCAAAAGAGGGAAAAAGGGACCCTTCCATGACTTTATCAGTTTGATGTTATCTGTATCTGCTTGTACTTATAACCTGAAGGTACAAAGGCAATGTGGAATCCAGACAGGAAAGCCAATCATTAATTTATCATAATGCACAGAGCAGAGAAAAGCCAGTGAAGATGACTGCATATAAATGGTACAGAAAAGCGAGTAATTGTGCCATTCAGCTGTCTAGATGGTTTGCTTTAGTAATGTAAACCTATGAATGAGCTGGCTAGCTTTCATCACAGCAGCCTTGCAAATACTCAGAAAACAGCCCTGTGGAGCCAGATGGGATTTACAGAGTTCCTGTCCTCTTGGGCACAGGATTGCCTCTTTTTAAGGGGAAAAACTCTCTGCAAGGAATGCTTTGTCATTTGCTTTAGGCAGCACATGAGCTGAGAAATGAACAGAGCTGGAGGGCAGGTGACTCCTGGGTCAGTAGAATGGTAAGGGTGTTGCTGTAACTTAACTTTTAGTTGGCAGAGTCAACTGAAAGAGAATGCAAATGTAGCAATACTATAAAGAGCCTAAAAGTTGCTTCTTCTCCTCTAATCCAAACATTTGGTGATTGATTTTCACAATTTCTTCAGTTCAGTTATAATATTCATAACAGCAGACAACAAACATCTGTCATTGCAATTCAGTTTTGTTGAGGTTTACATTTTACAGTAATGCTTATATTTTATTCCCGCTCGAAGCCCTTTGTTTTCTGCATATGCAAAAATAGCCAGAGCAGAGAAGATAATTCCAGCTGGCATACCAATCCTACATCAACTACAATAAATTACTCAGCAGAGTGAATGTTCCGTTACTTTTTATGGTCATGTTCTATATTTGTATTTGAAGTGGAAGTAATCACATGACAAAACCATCATCTGATGTTACAGATTATGTATACCAGCTAGTGGCTGTTGCCTGCACAATTCATTCTTTGGAAAGAAGTGATTTGAACTCATCCATTTTTTGGATGTTTTGAGTCAATTAAAAATACTGTAAATTGCTTGTACTTTGAAGCCAGAAAATAAGAGTGGAAAGTTATTTGAAAAGTACTTGTGAACTCTTAAATTCAAAGTACTGTAATGTGAGATATAAAAGAATGTTAATCAGAATTCTCACCATATAAAGTATTTTGTAGTATAATTGGTGAAACAGGAAGTTTGTCAGTGTTTTCAAATGTTTGAAAATCATTGAATTACTCAGTATATGTTAAGTTTTCATTCTGACTCTTGAAATTTAGCTTTGTGATACGACAGAACTACAGTAGAAATATCTGAGAATATTTCCAATGGCCACATCTTCTTTGTCATGGTTTTGTTTCCCTTTCCTTTCCTTATTTTGGTGTGTGTGTATGCAAATATGTGTGTTTTAGGATAGTTTTGGAAAATATGTCATATCCATCATAACATACAGTAGAAATGCCATTTGAAAAACACCAGAGTCGTTAAGAGCATAATTCTATGTCTATTTAGAAGGCAAAAAGTCTTACAAACTCCTGGCATTCCCCAGGCAGCCATGCTGGAAAGTGTAGGATGTTTTTTCTGGCTAAACATGTATAGGACTGCACCAAAAATGAATTCCTCTTTATTGTTCCTAAGTCTAGATAGAGCACTGACACTTTGAAAATATAGAAGTGCAATAGAGAAAGGGAATGTTGTAATGTGGTTTGGGAAACTAGTTCTTTTCTTTTCCTAATAAGAGTTACTTTCCATAGTCCTATGAATGAGCACAACTGCACAGTATGTTAAACATATAGTGTGTATCTGGTCACCCCCCTTTTTTTACTCACAAGTAGGCATGTGGGCTCAAAATTGGAGGTATGTCTACAGGAATGCTTGATGAATTCCATCTTTATGAGTTCTATATAAATAAAAATTATTATTCTGATGTGAGTTGACTTGATCTCCACTTGCAAACTAGTATGCAGACTGGAAAGTAATTACCTCTGAACATATGCATTTTAAGACATATTTTAAGAAGAAGTACATAAATGCATATTTGGTGAGAAGATACATATTCAGAACCATGTATTTAAATAAGCCTTTTTTAGATTTTTTTAAAAAGATTAATGCAGAAATGGGATAACATAGAATCATGAACACACATAAAATGACACAGTACAGAAACAGAATGATCTGTTTATCATAGACAGGATCACAAGCAACATCTGGTGTAAACAAGCACTCATCCTTTCATATATTTCAAAACATGTTTTTAAAACTTGCTTCTAACATTTTGTAGCCGCTGGCATGTGTGTTCCTTGACCTGAACACTTAGTGCCATTTGAGAGGCAGTGTGATGCAGCACGTAAAGGACGGTGGTTACGAAGTCTGGTCTAGTCTCCACTCAGCCATGAAGCTTACTGAGTGGTTTTGGGCCAGTCACTGACACTCCCAAAGTTCACTCAAGAGTACAAGTATGCTCATACTTGCACACAGCATGAGAAGGCAAGACTCACTGGTGAAGATAGTTGTGTTAGGAACAGTCAAAGGCAGAAGAAGAGGAGGAAGGTCAACTATGAGTTGGACTGATTCCATTAAGGAAGGTCCAGCCTTGAGCTGTGAGGGGCTTTCCAGGGCTGGTCGAGGACAGGGTTTTGGAGGGGCATTCATTCATATGGGTGCTGTAAGTTGCAGCTGACTTGATGGCATTTAATAACAACAGCACTCGCTCTCAGGCCAGCCTACCTATCTTCATTATGAGGACAAAATGGAGAGAAGGATAATGTATGTCATTTGAAGGAAAGCCTAGATATATGTCTAGCTATAGACATAGCAAATAAACAATAGCCAGTGAAGTAGCTTTGAATGGGGAGCAGGGTTAAAATTGTACCATGCAACATTCCCTCCACAAGTACCATGAGAGAGAGGAAGCTGGCTCCATGCCAAGAGATCACGTACTGCAGATAGTAAGACTGGAAACCAATGCCACCAAAAATATAAAAGATGTTAAAAATATCCTCCCTTCGCCATATAAAAATGTGTTATTCTTAACTGTCAATGACCCAGATGGTCTGATGTTAAAATTCTGACAAATAAGCCAGTCATTAGTATGCAGATTCTATACATTATTCATAAAGGAGGCTTCTCATAAGAGAACAAATTCAAATGACTACAAAGTATGTTCAAAAATCCAGAGAAATGTCAGACTGGATAGGGAACTGGAAACAGCAAATCCTTTAGTTGGAAGGTATGTGTTATCAATCACTAGATTTGCAGACATCACATCCTATAATTAAGAGCAAAAAAAAAAAACTTAGTAGAAACTTTTACATTCAAACTGGGAAATTCTATTTATTAATTTAATTACAATATTATAACGTGTGCACATCTAAACAGAACCCATGGTGATGAACAATACAGGATAAAAAGAATAAACCACCATATTCAAACTGTTTTTTAAAGACTGGCTGGTCAGTCAAGGAAGGCTTCTTGAAATAAAGATATTGTCAGGGGGCACCAATAACAACACAGTGACAGAGGCAGGAAGCCCATATAAAAGGGCTGATAGGTCCATATAAAACAAGTGGATGCATGCCATTGATTACCTTAGGAAGCAGATCATAGGTTGATATGTGAGAAGGTATTCTCTCAGTTCTTTAGGGCATTAAACCCTAAACAACTGAGAGAGACAGCTAGTATGATTCTCTCAGCAAAGGACCTACATGCTGAACAGGGGCAGCTTCTGACAACAGCTGAGCCTCTGCATTCTGCATCAGCTCAAACTCCTTGAGCAGCTGTGAGGGCATCCCCAGATAGAGTGCCTTGTAGCAACCCAATCTTGAGGTTGCCAGTACCTGTAATATTATGGCCAGACTACCCTGTTTAGGAACAACAGCACTTCAAAGCTGGTAAAAGGCATTCCAAGCTACTTGGGCCTCCAGCAACAGTGATGGATCTAGAAGTATTCAGACTACTATGAAGCTGATATTTCAAAAGAAATGCCACACCAGCTGGAACCAACAACCCACAGAGCTCCCATCTTGCCACGATTCAGCTTCAGTTTATTGGCCTTCATCCAGTCCATCATTGAGTGTAGACGCTGATCCTGGACTTGCAAAGCCTCACCTGATCCAGATGTCATAGGGAGAAGCCAATGAGGTCAATGTATTCCATGAACCCACAACACCAATCCTCAGCATTTGCTCTGGTTCTCTTCTAAAGTTGATTGGATGACCTGATATGAACAGGAAGGATTTTGAGTAGAGCACCCCCTAGAATGTAGCTTCCACCTAATGCAGCTTATTTTGGGAGCAAATGTTATTTGGGAGCAATCCTACTGAGTGCATGCTCAGAGATAGGTGCCCAAGCATCCTGTGCAGGGTCGGAAGAGCAGCAGTGACTATCTTCCTGCCCTGCAAGTTTTGCAAAATAGGTTTGGTCTCCCTGTGACAGCAGAAGCAGGTGAAGCTGTGCAAATTCTGGATTGGTGTCTAAAGTCAGTGATGGACCAATAAACTGAGGCTGAATCCTGAAATGATGGAAACCTTGTCAGTGAGTCTCGACTTTGTGTGGGAGGATAGGCTCATTGCCCATTCTGGATGGTACTGCACTCCCTTTGGAAGATTAGCTTTGTACTCCGGGAATATTCCTAGCTCTATCACTCTAGCTAGAGGCTAGAGGAAGTTTACAATAACTCATATCCTGGTTTTTCTGGGTCCCTTTCCTCCCTGCCCACTGAAACACCACCTTTCTTCCGCCTCTGAGGTGTCTTTTCTGATTTTGGAGGGCAGTCAGCAGGTTTTTTTTTTTTTGTGCCAGCTGCAAGTGACTGAGGGAGGAGGGATTGATCTCCATCCATTTCCTCTTTCCAAGGTTTGAGCACTGACTCTCAATTTGCTCTCTCCATGTATTAATGTTGCAGTTTTATTCCCAGGAGAGATATTTGTAGGATTTGCTGTCTCAGATGCCAAAATAAATTAGGTAGCCTTGGTTACAAACTTGGTGTGTTGGGGCTGGTGATGCCACTGGTCATTCTACTTCAGGCAGCAAAATGTTTCAGGCCAGCACCAGGCTTGCAGGTGCAGTTTCCTTTTCACAAGAAGGATTGGGAGCATTCCCAAATGTGACCAGGTGGCTTATTACATTTTAGATAAGTGCAACAATGCATATTACCATATAAAGGAGAAGCTCTTATAAGATCAGAGTCTACAGTTATTTACCTGCACCAATATTAACCTCCAAAATTACTTAGCATAGCATGCTCTGATACTGGGCAGCTTCTGTATGATGTCTCTTGCTGTAGAGGAAGCATCACAGCCAATATATACTGAACAAAATCCAAGGGACCTCCCACCCAGCAAAACTACAAGGGAGAGTGTGTACAAGATCTTATGTATTTATTTAGCACTACATCTTATCCAGCTTTTTCCTGCAAGTAAGCCAGGTGACATGATTCTCTTTCTTTCTCTATTTATCCTCACAACAACCCTGTGCAGTAGGTTAGGTTGTGCATCAAGGACTGGACCGAAGTTACTCAGTGAGCTTCATGGATGAATAGGAACTAGAACGAAGATCTCATTCTAACCACTATGCTGCATTGGCTCTTCAGCGGGGTGTGTGTGTGAAAGAGAAAGAGAGAGAGAGAGAAACGGACGATTGCGAAGTGTGTGTATGATGGTTATGACTGCTGTGGCTATGAAAAAATTAAGTGCTTGTATAAACGTTTATGGTTCTCCCTTTGTGTTTCTAGAAACTGCTGGTATTCGCCACAGAGAGTTTGGTTTTTATTTAAGATTTCAAACTCAGTCTGAGAAGGATTTATGTCATAGGAGTAGGGCTTTGAGCTAAAACAGAAACAATTAAATCCAGTGAGACCAAATAAGCTCATTGAAGATCTCAGTCTAAGTAACAATAATGCTGCATTTGTTTCCCAAGATGGGACAAGGGAGAAAATATCATTCAAAAAACAAAATAATTAGTTTCTAAAATGCTCACCTATTATTGGGCTGCATACCTACTATAAGGCAACTTACTGGTAGGACATGCTGCTGAATAAAATTGGACTGAAAATTAATAAACTCTGTGCCCTCTAAAGGACAATCCCGAGGCAAAGGATGCTAGGGACTCCCCCATAAGGCCACAGAGGCCTGGGTGTAGGGGAAAACCCAAGGTGGGACTTTCCTCATCCCTTCCAGCTGTCCTAGAAACAACTCCTTTCCTGAGGCTGATGTTAAAACATTGGAATAGGATGTTGAGGGAGAAAAGGGGGCAGGCCAGGAGGGTGAAAGGCAGAGAGACAAGGATGTGGATCTGCTGGATCCACAAGCTTTTTGGCCTCTGCCCCCACCTGCAGCCAGGTAAGTGAGCTAGATAGCCCCAGAGACCCCTCCTGTTCAACATACAACAAGGGAAGAACAGAAAGGCTGTAAATGCCTCTATTGTGCCGCCTTCCCTTCCTGGCTCTTACTGGCAATAGGATAGTTTGAAGACTCATGTAAACTGAAGGACCAGGTTTGATCTCTTGTTTGAAATGAAATGATTGAAATTATTCCATAAATGTTAGGTATAACTGAAACATCATGGGAAAAGCATAGTCACCTACAAAGAAAAGCAAACTAGATGTCAATTGCTTGTTCGGGTTCCTTGTCTTTCCATCACAAACAGCAGGTAATGGATAAGATGGAACCTCCAAATCTATTCAGTTATTCATAAAACCTAGAGGTCAAGAATGTTTCTTTTCTGCCACCTGTAATAACTGTTTTTCAATACTGTAGGATGAAGTGGCCATTCTTCTAAAACCAATATCAGACAAGATCCAGGAAATTCAAATGTTCAGAGAGAGAAACCGAGGAAGTAGCATGTTTAATCATCTGTCTGCTATCAGTGAAAGTGTTCCAGCTCTTGGATGGATAGCAGTTGTGAGTTCTGAACTTAATATATGGAGTTTAAAACAAAACAAAAGCAACACAAAAAGCTTGCTTCTGACATGCTGTACAAAGCTACAACTAAAAATAAAATTGCAGTTGTTCATACTATTGTTTCCCCTGCTCCATGTTTCAAAATATTCAGGTTGAATCTGGAGTAAAGCGTATATATTGGGGATGATGGTTGCTGATATCCTTGCTCCCTCCCTGGATGGGATGGACTGTGGTTCAGAGGGGACTGGTTGCAGACATAATTTTGCTTTCAGCACAACCCCCACAACACACGTCCCCTCATCCCATCAGCCCTTTCTTGGTGGAATGTTTTGAGGGACAACCAAATCAGCATTGTTAACTCCTAGTTCAACCGTCTTGTCTGCAATATAAGTTGTGAAAAAGATTTTGCCTTGTGATCTCACATCTTCTCCCTCCCTCCCTCCCTCCCTCCCTCCCTCCCTTTTAAAATTATTTCCTGTGGCGTTTGTGTGATGGCCTCATATCCCTCCTTAGTCCCCCAAACCAGGGCCTTATGTCAAGGAGATGAATGATGCTGCAACCTTCTATACTAACAGAGTGTTAAAAGACTACAAACACAGGTTAGTTATCCCCAACTGCTCTGTTTCTCAGGTGTTATATCAACCAGATTGACAAACTTTTGAACAGGGGTGGGAAACCTTTTTCATCCCAAGAGCTGCATTCTCTCAGGGTAACCTTCCAGGAGTTCCTACCAGTGCTGGGTGAGGCCAAATCCCCATTCACACATCTTTTCACACACCCCTTGCAACTCATACTGTCCCCTTCATGTGCACTCACTAAGATATCCCCCAGCTCATCAACTGGACTTGAATAAGTCCTTTCATTTGAGTAAATAAGAAGCTTTTGAATGTCTAACCACCATGTGATTTTTCTGACAGGAGGGGGATTGCAACACAGGGGGATGGTTAATCCATTGGCTCCAATTTATTTTATTTCTTACTATATTTGCATCCCACTGTTTCCTTCTAGCATGAAGCCCAGGGTCGGCTGCATGGTCTTCCTTCTCTCCATTTTATCCCCACAAGAACCCTTTGAGGTGGTTGGGCTGAAAGTCAGTGACTGGCCCAAAGCCACCCCCAGCAAGTTTCACCACTGAATGGGGACTAGAACTCAGGTCCCCCAAAGTCTCAGTCACACATTTGAACCACTGGAACATGCTATCCCTCAACAAGGACTTTTCCCCAAGCCTGGCTTCCATAGCTGCAAGATTGAGGAAGTGGGGCCAGGGAATGTTGGGGACACCCTACAGGCTGCAACTAAGCCCTACCTTTCTTGCAGCTTGTTTTGAATCTGCTATAAAAAGATCCACTGCTGTACAAGACAGCCAATATTCTATAAATCAGAATTGGTTTTTAAGAGCCTATTTAGGCCTATTCAGATCAGGTTAAATGTTATAAATATAGCTCTGCTAAACTTGGTGACTTTTATTTTTATAGATTTACTTGAAGACATCAAGTATCGCAGTGGGGCAAATGACTTATCTGATGGGCAAATCAAAAACAGAGATGTTAAAATGTAAAAAAATTGTGTATACAGGGTAGAACAGTAACAAGTACACAAGTACCAAGGACAGATCCAACTCTAGTTAAGCACTTTTAAGACCCATTTAAATGTATGTTTAATTCTGCCATTGAAATCAGTGGGACAAAATGTTTAACATTATGGGAACAATTTAGCAAGTTAAGGACCACTAGCTAGTTGGGTCTCTCATTACTAATGCCAGTCAATAGAATATTTATGGTAAGCAATGAGCATTTCTAATATAAAAAGGGGGTGGACAATCTGGTGCCCCCAAGATGTTTTGGACTGCAACTGCCATTATTCCCAGCCACTGTGGCCAGTGGTCAAGGATTATGGTATCTTGTAGTCCAAGACAAGTTTGCCTTCCCCTGACATAAAACATATAAATTATATTCAATAATGAAAGATTAACCAGAAAGAAGAAGAAGAAGCTGGGAAAGAAACATAACAGATATTCTGACCATCACCAATACAGTTCAGTACATTCTGTTTCACTAATTTATGGCCCCAGTACCCTATAGACAATCAGTACAACATTTGTCAATGTTTATTATTCTTTAATGTTCAGAATGGACCCCTAAAATGCCAAGTGCATGTACAAAAATTTCCATTATGTTCCAGTGATTTGCGCCATGTTGATTGGGTGAAGTCATTCTTGAATATTTGGGCAGAACTTCAAGCATACATCAAAGATTATCATACCACTGGGCTCACCTGGAGTAAAACTGTAAGTGCTTTATTTCTTGATTTTCTTTTAATTGCAAGAAAAGTCAAATAATATCCTATCTCTTTTAGTTTGGAGTATTTTGTCAAAATATAATCTAATATTTTCCTTGATTTTTGTGAATGACTAATTGCAATTCTGTTCTGAAGAAATTTACCACAAGGTAAAAGAAACTCCTAGTTGATATAACTGTTTGTCCTCTCTCTTAAATGGGTAATGAAATAATTGATAATGCTAGCAGCTGCATTTTACACACTAGGTTTGCATCAGCCTTAAAGAAAATTTTGCAGAATTTGGGTGACGGGCCAATATCCTTCACTGCCGATGAAGGCAGTAAAGAAACTTAAGGGACATGCAGCAGGTTTGTGGAACACAAAGTTTTATTCGCTAATACTTTGGTACCACTCTGCATGCCTGTGCTCCAGTTTTTGCCCCTTGAAGCTTCTTCCTCACCTTACCTAATGACAGAGCAAGCCCTGCATCTCATTCTCATGAAACTCTCTCAAAGGCTCTCTGCAAACTCTTATAGAGTGAAGTATACATAACACTTGGTATGCTGGGTTGTGGTGTGCTTTGTTACAAACAAAGACACTTACAAGGTAGTTAGAAAACTGGCTAAATGAGTCAATGGGTTGAGAAGAAAGGCAGGCATTTAGTTGCTTCGTTGCACACCTGGCATATAACTCAAACAGCACTGCTCACTGTTTTGTATTGACTGTCTCCTGGTCACTGCTGGGACCTGGGCACTCAAGTTCAGAGCTGTGTCCAAAGGTGCTCCCAGGACATGAGTCTGAGTTCTGAGGAGAACATAACCTCATCCATGGTGATAACAATTCCTAATTTTACAAGGAGCAACTTTATTATTTATAACATTTAAGGTGTGCCATGTGTTTTATTTATTATTTTATTTATTTATTTAGATTCAGTACAGCTTATATATCACTAAACTCTGTCCTCAAAATTAAAGTCTAATGACTTCTGATAATAGGGCTTTCCAACATTTTAACAAAATCAGATAACCAGTAACATTAATTCATAAAGAAGTAACTGATTCAGAAAAAGGGAATGAACTCCATCTCAGCATATAGGTTGGTCATATTCATTATCTTGGGAAAGCACTGAGGAAGCCAGTGCTCAGAATGCCACTACATTTTCTCTCTGTAGCTAGGCTACAGAAATTGCCATCTATGGTAGAATGAATTGTTGCTGAAGCCATTTTACAATCCGAAGACCAAAAAATAAAAAGTGGCTCACCGGCTTAAACAGTCGGTACAGACATCAGAGTAAATCCTGAGCAGGTGATGCAGCCTCTCCCCCTCCCTGCCCACCTCCACCAAGATGGCTTAAGACAACCAGATACGAGTGTAAACCAGTAAACAGTTGAGCTAATGAACAAAATGGATTTTTTTTACAGAGGCAGCAATCATCAGCTGTTTCACCTTGTAACTAAGGTATCATTATGCAGAGGGACTGCTTGTGGACAGGTGGCCTAAATGTTGTAGTTAACAGAGACAATCCTAATATACATTTACAGAAGAAACACCTTAACAAAAGATCTATGTCTCTCTGCCATAGTCCACCTGTTTCTGTAGGATGTTACATGATACTTGGAGCTTCACAATCCTCATTTTATGAAGGCGCTTTGTGTTTATGTATGGACAGGACAATATAGAGCTCTGTAATCATATTAAGTATATAAGTAGGATTATAAGAGTTAGCCATGCTAGTATCTTTTTATTAGGATAATAAAAATGTCTCCTGCAACTGCCAGTAATTGGTTGTCTTGGGAAGGGGGTGGATTTTCAGTTCATCAATGTCATTGTTCACACCACCTGTCCCCTTCATTCTCATTTCAAATGTCTATGTGCCACTTACGCATACATGCATAAAATTCAGCTTACTATTATTAGCATATGAAACTAATGCTGGCATTTGGCATCCACTCACCAGAATTATTATTTAAACATTTCATTTTTTCCAGACACTGTCTTTCAGTCTTTAAAAATGGAAATATATGTGGTATGAGAAGTGTAAAACTCATGGGTATTTTCAAAATCACTACATTAGGAAGGCATTGATTTTGGTATGGGAAAAATTAAAGATACAAATTTATAATAAGATACTGAGATGGCTTTCTCTTATGGAAGCTTTTGTATACCCAAATGCATTAAATTTCAATAAGGCTGTGACTTACAATGACATCTTGGACAATGAAGGAAAATTGAAATCAAATCAAGAACTTCAAGACCAGGGCATTGATCTTGCTTGGTGGTATCAAACGCAGATAAAATCAAGACATGTTAAAGATTTTAAAATGTATGGTTTCTATAAGGAACAAAACACTTTTGATCAATTAATTTTAAAATCAGATGAAAAAATGATTCAAAGATTGTATAATTTTCTTTTAGAAATGAAAATGGAAGATGAACAAGTTAAAGAAACAATGATAACATGGGCACAAAACTTTGGGTATAACATTGAATTGCAGAGGTGGCAAAAGTTGAGGGAAAGAAATGTTAAGATAACTTTGGCAACTCCCTATAAAGAAAACTTGTATAAAAAGTTTTATAGATGGTATCACTCAACAGATTAGCTAAAATGTTTCTGAACATGTCAAATAAGTGTTGGAAATGTAAACAGAAACCTGGTAGCTTCTATCACATGTGGTGGACCTGTGATAAAGCAAAAAAATATTGGGTTAAAATACATAGATGGCTTGGGGAAATGTTGCAAATATCTGTAATGTTTAAACCAGAAGTATTTTTGTTAGGCATTCTCCCCGATGATCTCGATAAACAAAGTATATATTTGACTTTGCATGTAATAACAGCGACAAGGATTACATATGTGCAATGTTGGAGAAATGAAGAGCTACCGGCTTAAGATTGTTCTTGAGCAAGATATTGAACTGTGCAGAAATGGATAAACTGACTTTATCTCTTAAGAAAAAAGAAGATACAGTTTATTACCAAACATGGGACTTTTTCTATCAATGGCTACAGAATCGGAACTCTAATATGGGCTAAAATACATAGCATTTGTAAAGAAATAAGACTTTGTACACAGTATGTTTGAAGTCTTCAGAATAATTATTTGTTTAGTGAGTAGAAAACAAAACTTTAGAACAAAATGGAAATACAAATAATAATAAAAACTTGGATCCATGCAAAGAAGAGGCCATTAAAATCAGTGGGCCATAACGAAGTCATGGTTAACATGCTTTAAGGGGTTGGATAATTGGGAAGAGGTAGGTAGAAGTGGGCTTTCTTGCTCCTCTTCCCTGCCAGCTCCCAGAGTTTTCTGAAAACTCTCAAAGTATTAGAGTTACAGTGTTGGTGGTGGGATGTTAAGGGGGAGTTCACAGAAAATAAAGCCTTTTTCAAGTGAGTCTGAAAAGAGTGGGGGCCTTCCCAGGGTCCCCCGTGAAAAGCAGGAACAAAAATTGCAGCTGCACAGGGAAAGTGTATATCCGCTTTCCTGTAACTGCTAAGAAGCATCCTACTAGCATAAGCAGGGCTGTTTCTCCCTCTAAGTGAGGAGAACCTTCCACCTTGTGCAGTGTTGTGGGAGGAGTGGCAAACTGCATGCCACTAAGAGGAATGCTGCTGTAATCCATCAAGGTGGCACTGGTCTTCCCGAGAGGCCCACTGGTCACTCTCTTTCTCTGTGGCATTTTCTCCCCATCAGAAGGAAATAAAAACTGGGATGTGAAACATTCATTCATGGAAAAATCCTGGTTTTTGCCTGCTGCAGAAATGGGAAACCTGGACAAATTCATTCAAAATTCAGGCACTTGTAACTCCTGCTGTCAACTGCTGAGCATCACCAATTTGATCCTGATTAAGATAATCTAGTATTTTTTACATAAACATTTCTCTGAAACTTAATGATAAAAATGATATATTTAACCTTAAATTGCAATGTGTTTGCTTTCAAAACAAGTCTTCCTTTTGCATGATGTTTATCAACCCTAATCCCTTTATATGTCTTGAAATTAATTATTTGCAAACAATTTCATGGTTGACAACAAATGGATCTTACTTAGAAGCAAGAACAATCCCCAGCAGATACTTTGCTGCAAATATGTTCACTGGTTGCTTGACTAACAGTATGATAACCATGGACAGTAATGAAGGAGCAGCTGTTCTGAAGGAAGGCAGCTGACAAGAAACCTAGAAGACAGATGTGGTCACCATTTGCACTAGTTAAATAGCTTTTTAAATGCTTTTTCTAAAGATACATTGTTAAAAACATCTGCTCACACTTAATGTAAAGAATTGTTTGCAATAGCAAACACGTGCTGGATTAAGTGAAGATGTCCTTTTGAGAACCTGTCATATGTCTTTTCATTGAGGTCATGTGCTGAAGTCAGCACACATGCCTTTGCAACTTTACATGGTGCTCAGAGAGGCAGGCTTTGGTGGGGAAATTAAAGAACCAAGGACATTTGCACCACAGTCAGAAATGGCTCTTACTTAGTATTAATATCAGAAGGTAGGTAAAGGCTTCCCTTGCACACCGTGCTAGTCATAGCCAACTCTAGGGGCAGTGCTCATCTCCATTACAAGCTGAAGAGCCAGTGTTGTCAAAGGCTGTTTCCATGGTCATGTGGCCAGCATGACTAGATGCTTTCGCAGATGGAATGCTGTTACCTTCCCACTAAAGTGGTACCTGTCTACTTGCATTTGCATGCTTTTGATCTGCAGGGTTGGCAGGAGCTGGGGAAAGTACTGGGAGCTCACTCTGTTATCAAGTACTCGGGTTTCGAACTGCCAAACTGTCAACCTTCTGGATGACAAGCTCAACATCTTACCCACCCAGATGTAAATTCGAATCTGATTTTAATGTCTGCAGAGACGTGTTTTACAACTTTCCCATACATCACATTCTTCTTTAGAGACAGAAGGACTACACACATGATGTTCAACTCCATGTAGTTTACTTACAAAAGGCAGCTGCACACCTTCCAATTTAATGTGGAAGAAAGCTAGAAACATCTGCATAACCCCTGTCTTCCAGGTTTTCTTTAAAGAGGCATGCTATAAGGAAATTCTAGAATCCATTCACATCCCATTGTACAATAAATATAATCATGTGGAATAGTTTGCTAGTTTTCACCTGATGCTTCCACCATATCTGCCTTTTCTTGATTACATTTCCAGGAGTGGAAGTTCTCAAATTTACTACTTGGAGTAATACGTTGTAAAAACTCTCTTGAATTAATGAAGCACATTTATTTGTGACACTATTTGATTGATTTCTAGTTACCTTTTCCTTTTGCTTACAGGGCCCAATTGCCTCAGAAGCATCTGGGCTGCCTACTGCAGCAAGCAACCAAGTTCCTCCTCTACAACCACCACCTCCTCCGCCACCAGGACCCCCTCCTGTCTTCAATACAGAAAATGCAAAAGATGATTCAACTGCATCACGCTCAGCTCTGTTTGCCCAGTTGAATCAGGGAGAAACAATTACCAAAGGTGTGAAGAAAGCAGCACATTCACCCTATCACTAACCTTTCAAAATCCCGTATTAAAAATGGGACTTTACCTTTTGACAGCTCTCAAAGGCAGTGCTTTTTTTGTAAGAAAAATGGTGCCGGAACTCATGAAATTATTTACCTTTTGCATGTAGTCAATCACTGTACACACACTCACACACGTCGTGTAATGAAACATAACGGTTGCCGCCCGCAGTAAGCACTCAGCGCGCGACCACATGACCAATCACAAGGTGAGCAGCGCCATCACATCCAGCGCGGACGAAGTACGCATGCATCAGACTCGACACACAAGCAGTCCACATGCACCGTTTTAATGATTTTGCCACTGACCTGCTATGCTCGACAGGGCAATTCAAATCCACGTGGACCAAACATCAAATTTTTAAAAGTTACTTTTAAAACTTGGAAAATCTGTCAAAAAAAGGTTCTGGAACTCTGTTCCGGTGCGTTCTATGACAAAAAAAGCACTGGTCAAAGGTAACAGCATCCGTAAATGCAGAGGTTCACACTTATGCATGTTCGCAAGGTGGTAGAATCTTGGAAATAAGTACAAAAGTCAGGACACTTCTGGGGGGTGGGGGAGAGTGGGAGAGACCATGAGGATCTTGTGAACAAGCCACCACCACTCTTTGTGAATATCACTTGCACCTTTGGTTACACTTGACAGCTCGCCATTTGACAGATGTCAGATGGAACCAAAGGGGAAAATAGACTTAGCTGCAGGCTCACAGTGAGTATTTGCTTGAGTTCTCCAGCAGGCACCCCACATTGCCCAACTGAGGCTCCCCATTCCCACACCTCTGCAACTATGGGCATCTGCAGTTGTGCCAATGCAAATATTTTTTAAAAAAATACTGTTTGTATTTCTTTGTGAAAAGTAGGGAGGATTTTAAAAAGGTTGAGCAACTTTAGGCAGCACGTACAAGGTACTGCTGGGGTACTTGGAAGGGAATGTCAAAGTGAAGATCATAATTTCCAAAAACAAGAAGTTTAAAGGGAAAATAAGCTGCAGCAAGCCCAAAATGTTTCCCAATTGCCGAGGAAAGGGAGAAAGCCAGTGACAGCTGTCCAGAATTATCACTTGGGCATTTTGGGGCAGCTGGCGCTAGCAGGTGCTAGGACACATGTGGGAAGAGCAGTGGGGGCTTTGATGCTTGCTCTGCCAAGCAAATCAGTAGCTAATTCTGTGTACCCATGATGGAATCGGTTGTAAAGACATGACAAATTGTTGGGGTACAAAAATCCCTGGAGCAAACTGTGCATTCTCAGGGTGGCTTGTTGCCCTTAAACAGGCCACCTTGCAGGAATCAGGCTGGGTTCACATGGCATGACAACCTTTCATGGGTTGCTAGCCTTTCATGAGTTGATTTCTTTTCTCTTTCCTTTTGTGGGGACAAACCCAGACAGTGCTATTCTGCAGATGGGAAATTGTATGAAAAATAGAACTATCTGCTGAATTCTCTAACTCAGGACAATAATGAGAGCTTGGGCATTATATTAAGAAGTTTGATCTAGGTAATGCCTGTAAGTGAATATGATGCTATTTTTGTACTGTTATTTGTGGCTTTCTTAGGGCTTCGCCACATTTCTGATGACCAGAAGACCCATAAGAATCCCAGTCTTCGTGCCCAAGGGACACCTATTCGCTCTCCTACAAAAATCCATACTCCAACTACTCCCAAGGCGCATGTCCAACAGAGCCACTGCCCTGTGTTAGAACTTGAAGGAAAGAAATGGAGAGTGGTAAGTTCAGCTTATCTGTAAGTAACCTGAAAAATGGCTCTCACTGACCTTTCTGTAGAATAGACAAACTCTACAATAGCAGTGGCAATATGGTACATGAAAAAGTACATCAAAGGGTATCCACATAAGAGGAGAGAGAGCACCCTTTGCTCACTGAGATTCAAGCAGTATGCTGCCACTCTTTTCATCAAGTTGTTATTGCTCTTGCTGCATTACATTTCTGTACCACCCATAGCTGAAACTCTCTGGGCAGTTCACAACATTAAGTCACCCATCCAAATTTCAACCAGGCCCAATACTGCTTAGCTTCCAAATTTAGGCAGGATCAGACACTTCAGGCTGGTATAACAATATTATATAGTATAAATAAGCTACCACACTTTTTATTCATTATTACATTCATGCCTCACCTTTTTTGCCTATTACAAGGAGCCAAAGGCAACATGGTACTCTCCCTCTCCATTTTTTCCTCACAACAATCCTGTGAGGTAGATTAGGCTGAGAGTCGAATGACTGACCCAAAGCCACCCAGTGAGCTTCATGCCCAGTAGTGATTTAGAAACTGGGTTTTCTGAGTCCCAGTACAATGTAATTCTCCAAGCAAAATTGTTCCGGAATAATTGAAATAAATATTTCTGGGGAAAAGGATTACCCTTATGAGTTACAGTGGTGCCTTGGCTCATGAACTTAATCTGATCCAGGACTCTGGTTGTGACCCAAATTGGTCATGAGCCAAGTCAAATTTCCCCATAAGGGTCAGTGTAAATAAGGTTAATCCATTCTGCAACTATTTTTTTTACTCACAAAACTTTGAAGCAAAGTGACAAAGATCGTGGCCATCTCCCCCACCCTCCAGCAATCATGTGGGGAGTGGGGAGAGACAGGCATGATCGTGGAAGCGCTCGGGGGGGGTGAGATGGCAGCGATCGCTGGTGCGCTGTGGGGAGATGGGCACAAACGTGGGCGCACTTGGGCAGGGAATGTGGGCGCAATCGTGGCCATCTTCCCCCAGCATGATTGCGCCCATCTCCCCACCCCCCCAGCATGACCACAATCACGCTGTGCAGGGAAGGTGGGTGTGCTCGTGATCGTCACCCGATGCAGTTTGCGATCTGCAGCAAATTTTTTATGAAATTTGTTTGCGACCCAATTTGGTCGTGAACTTAGGCATTCATGAGCTGAGGTACTACTGTACTCATAAAGCAATACAAAAGTTAAAACTTATGCATAATACGTAGCCTTTGTAGAAGAACAATAATCAATAGAAATTAAATGGTTAACTATAAGACTTCTAATCAAAGAGAGAGGGATTATAGAATGAATTGGTGGCATGGTTGGTGGCAAAGAATAGTTGCAGGAAGTAGAAGAAGAGGGTGAAAAAGGAAAACTGGGAATACTGTCCATATTTCTATGGTTTTGTCTGAATGGAGGAGGAGGAGCGATGTTCCCATGATAAAAAAGCAGAAACCACCTGGGAGCTCAGAGGGTGGGAAGAAAACATGCTGAGAGGAATAAGGGACTGGAAGGAGAAAGGGACACAGGTCAGGAAGGAAGAGATGAGTCAAGCAGTTTGAGACAAAGCTGTTGAAGACCTTAGAAAAGAAGGGGGGTTGTGGGGGTCTGAAGGCAAAGAGGGATCTTTGTCCTAGGCTGGGTTGGTCAGAGATGTTGTGGCTTCTCCTTTGAATGTTTTCAGTGGGATTTTCTCTTTGGATTTTCTACAGTGGGTTTAGTACTCTCTGCACAGTGACTTTTCCTTAATAAGGACCCAGTAGGGAGTAGGGTATTTGCATTCTCAAAGGTTCCATACTGGTTAAAGTGGTGGGAACCACTCCTTTCGTTCATGTGTATGGAGGCAAATCAATATACAAAGCAAGTCATGCTCTCTTTGTGAACAGTCCCTAACAGATCATTTTCTCAGGCAAAATTGAGAATTTTGAGACAAAATGCTGGGGGGAAAATAATGGGGAAAAGTGTTTCCTTGGCAACTATTTTATGCAACATGGAATGGCACATTGCTGTAACTCTGCAGGAATAAATTGTACTGAAGAAGTAGAGCTCTGACCACAAATGACATGGAATGACATGGAAGTACATTTATTTGTTCATAAGGTGTTCTGGATCAGATGATTCAGGCATAACCTGTTGCATCCGAGACACAAAATAACCATGTCATCTTTGGGGAAATTGCATATTTACTAGCATGAATAAGTAATGTATGACATTAATTCTTCTTCAGTAAAAGGGTGCTTCTACTATATGTCACATTTCTTATTCCAAGACGGTACTGATATATGCACATATATGACTTCTTGCTGAAGGGCTCATGCCTTTGCATCATTCACAGGTAGTTTCTTGAACTGTTTTCACTTAATTTTCACCAAAAATTCTAGAAAATTCAAACCAATTTCACTGGTTAAAATAGTTAAAGAATTAGATGTCAAAATTCTATAATCTTAGAAACTCCTGTAAGCAAGACATACAGATGATGATACTGTACCCCTGTGAACATAAACTATGTATTCTCAAAGCACCTTTATGCTACTTGCAACTTGATGGATGTAATTACAGTTTAGATTCTCACCCATTTTTTAGTGAGATATCTCCGCGCTCTCGCTCGCTCGCTCGCTCTCTAAGGAATGCCATCCTTTTCTATCAAGGACCACGTTCCTAAGACTGCAGTCTGCTTGTGCACATAACAACAATAGAGAATAAAATAAAAATACTACTTCCTGAGCAGGACTAATAACTAATATGTAGTGTGATAAACTTTTTTCTTTTAAATATAGGAATATCAGGAGGACAAGAATGACCTTTTAATTACTGACACTGAACTCAAGCAGGTAGCCTACATTTTCAAGTGCAACAATTCTACCTTACAGATAAAAGGAAAAATTAATTCCATTATAGTGGGTAAGTGCACTGATTCCTAGTATATGAAGACTGAGGTCACAATTCTATGCACTCTCAAACAGAGTGAGCCCCACTGGATATACTGAGACATGCTTGTGCATAAACATTAATAGGATTGCACTGAACACCCTGCAAATATATTATTAGGTGATAGGCTTTTAAACAGTTGTGACTCCTGTTGAAATCTGTGGGAATAAGCTAGTCAGTTTCATAGATGTTAGCATGTTGTGGAAGTTAAATGCTTTCTTATCTACTGAACAAAATGATGAGTGCATCTCTAACAACTTGATTTCTTTATTTCTTTCTTCCCCAGACAACTGTAAAAAGTTTGGCCTTGTTTTTGACAATGTTGTGGGTATTGTTGAAGTGATCAATTCCAAGGATATTCAGATACAGGTAAGCACTCCTGCATAACAATAATACAGAGAGGGAGTGGATTTTTTTCACCTGAGAAGGTGAACAGGCCCAGTTAGCTCACTGTGCAGCTGGCAGAAACTATCCTAATATGCCTACCAGTGCTTGATATGAGGTGCTGTCCTGAGGCAAGCAGGAACGGGATGGGGAAAATGATACAGTCTAGCAAGTTGTTTGGTAGCTTAGTGAAATTGGCTATTTAATCATCTTCCTGCCTGGTTTTGCCTCATTCCTTCCTAAGAATTCCTTCTTTCTACCCTCAAAAAGCTATTTTCTGGGTTGTCCCCTGAATGCATAAGTAGCAAGGGAGATTCTGGTTACTGTCCACATCCCCAGATGTTAATAACACCCCATTTATGATTTCCAGTGGCCATGCATTCAGTGATGATCCTTGCACACATGGAAGAGCCTCTCAGTTCATGCAGCATATTTATACTATTGCTGGATGTGGGGACATGGCTGCTAAGCACAATCCTCCTCCTCCTCCTCATGCACAGAACAAATATGTGAGCAAGAAGGTGTTGTAAGAACAGCCCAAATGTGTCTATGATACATGGTTGCTTATTATAGTTCCTCTTCTAGAGGTTGCCACTTACCATCCCACTTCACCCTGGGTTGGAAGACAAGCACTGAAACTCCCACAGATTGCTTCTCCTCCCACCTTTAGAGGTCTACTCCCAAGAAAGAGTGAGCAGCCCTTTCTCTCTGCTCACAGCCCCTGTTGCTGGCTGGAAAGGACTGTGAACACATCAGAACATACAGGGGATATGCTATGCCCTGCTGGATCAGACACAGAAGTTCATCAAGTACGGCATCCTATTTCCAGCAGTGCCCAACCAGATGCTTCTGATAAGCCTGCAATCAGCACTCAAAGCAACCTCAGCCTAGCATTAGCAACTGTGACCTTATACTAACCATACAACAGAGCCCACCAGTTGAACTGTGGGTCTGTGTTCCTAATGTTGCCAGTGACTTGCCTTTACCCTGTGTTTGTAACATTACATGATTATTAAGTAGCTCCATTATTGAGCAGCTCCTTACACACATACTCACTTGACCTCAAGCAACCTCTGCTCTTTTATAGGCAGTGAGGAAGGGTTACAAATAGCACCAGGCATTGCTCTGGACAAGCAGTGACTCAGCCTGTCCATCCACGGAGTCCTTTCTATCTGTGTAATGGTCAACAAGAGTTGGCTAATATCACTGCCTTCCTGTAAGTTAACTTGGTAGTGTTTGTCCCCAAGCATTATGAAGAAATACCCTGCTGCTTTCACTCACTGAGCATATAAACAAGCTTTAAACTATGTTGTAAACATGAGCACTGAATCCTTAAAGAAGTAACCAAGCAGTTTCTTCCTTGCTGTAAATTACTACCTATTAGTCATCAGCGTATTTATTAGATTTATTTATTTATTTCCATGTTGCCCCATAACCCAAAGGATCTCTGGGCAGCTTACAACTGTTTTATAAATATGGTGACAGAATAAAGACTCTGTTATATATGTGTTTTCTCCTTTGGCAGGAAGAAAGAGATGGAAATTCCTTTCAAAGAAAGTAGCATTTTAAAAAATCAGTACATATAATTTTATTTCTGAATATGCATACTTAAAAGAAATTGCAGATTAAATTATGCTTCAGAAGAACCATATAGCAGTTCTGGCTAGATTGAAATTGTGACCTGTGACTGGATATCTTAAAGGTGGATGTGGACTAAACTGTTTTGGAGCTGTGGTACTGGGGGAAGGCTTTTCACTTCCCCGGGTACTATTTCTCCAATTTAAAATGCCAGATAAAAGCTTTTGTTAGCTGGAGAGAACAAAGCACAATATAGGTCCCTATCTTTTCCCAGTGTGAGGTTAGTATCTTCTGGTAAGAACAATGTGTTTGATTAAATTGAGGAAACTGTACAGGGGGGAAAGGTTAAAAATAATCCTTGTCTATCCCTGAACCCATACTGCAGTTCCAACCCACTTTGCCCTCCCCATGCTGTTTTTTAAAAATAATAATTTATATTTCTCTCTAGTTATCACAGAAAGCATCCTGTTATATTGAATATCCTCTGTAGGGATGTCCTTTGACATCCCATGTTTCATTAGGAGATAGGTTAAGGGGTACCTTGGAGAAAGGGTATATATGGGAATGCCATACAACCTGTTTGTCTGCAGAGCTGCCTGTGTCAAACACAGAATGCTATAGAAACCCACTCAACTGTTAAGCTCATCATCAAATATCCTGCTCTGGGTCCCCATTTCCATTGAGGCCAGCTGGGTGACCATCAAGTACAGGGCCTTCTCGGTGATGGTGACCCCCTCATGAATGTCACCTCCTTATGTCTTTGCCTTGCCCCTCCCTCTGTTGGTATCTTGGTGCCAGATAAAATACTTTTTGCCATAGGGCTATATGCCACCTAATTCTCTTCTAATTCTGTCCCACTGAAACAAATGGGGGATGATGGTTAATTACTTCTCAAGTCATTCCCATACTTGGGAAAAGACTTATTTGGAAGGCAGCTATTTATGACATTTTGGCAATGACATAAGGAAACCGACCTCTATCTTGAATTACCATTGGACGGTGACTGGCTTTAATGGAGCCCTACCTAGCCTGACAGGCAAGAAAAGATTATGTTGGTGTTAACCTATTCTTTTATTTTGCTTTGTTATGAAATCATTTTATGATTCTAGGTACTAGGGAAAGTGCCAACCATTTCCATTAACAAGACTGAAGGCTGCCATATATATCTCAGTGAGGAATCATTGGACTGTGAGATTGTGAGTGCAAAGTCATCTGAAATGAACATCCTCATCCCACAGGATGGTGATTATGTAAGTTGGATATTTTTAGGTCATCTAATACAAACTAATAACTACCTCAATAACTCATATACTCTGTCACGGATAGTTAGTATTCTGTTCTGGCAATACAGTTCTCTGGATTAAAGGAGCCTCCTGTGATTTGTATTAAATATTTTCTGGCTGATATTAATGCTTTATTTATTTAGAACACACATACACACATACCACTCATCTAAAAGGATTCCAGGACAGTGCACAATAACATGAAATACAATAGGAAAATACATCACATTAATTAAAGCAGAGTAAGAAGCCAAGTTACATCTTATTAAAGGAATTTAAAAACTCAAGTGGTTCCAATACCGTCATTAAATGTGTGTGTGTGTATGCACGCACTGAAGATTATCTCATCTATCTTTCTCTTTTTGTTGTAAATTCAAGGATTTGTTCAAGTTTTAAATCAATGTCTGATGCTGGTAATAGACTGGGTGAGGATTAATGATTTAAAACCTAAAGACAGAGATGCTCTTGATCAATCAAAAAGCATATCTGGGAATGGGGTTTCAGCCTATTGGGTATATTCTTGGATTTAATCCTGAACCTTGAAATGCTGTCTCTAACTCCTCTGCAAGCTTAAACAGGAAAAGTCCTACAACTCCCAGCGTTCCACAGGCAGCCATGCTGTGGTAGAATTTGGTGGAAATTCAGGAACAGGGCTTGTGTTAGTACCAGTCATCCTTGCAGCTGCTGGTATTTTGGACCCCTTTCGATCTGTTTACCTGCCTACAGCATTCCAAGCAGCACAGGTAGCTGGACCTAGTCATCGCTAAAATACTTCAATGCCCCAAGACACATCATGTTAGAATCATTGTAAGAAATGTATCTATATCCAGAAGCTTAGTTCAGTGTCATTACCACCACCAGACAAGCTCATCAGAACCCATCAATGTACAATGGTACCCACGGATGTGTACTTTTGGTAGACCTCCCCTAAACCCTGGAACTGGCTGTGCTCCAGGGGGTGCTTCCTGGTGGGCTGTTCCCAAACTTTGGAACTCCTTGCCAAGGGAGGTCTGGCTGGGACCCATCTCTGATTCCAATAACAGGCAAAGGTACTTTATTCAGACATATGTTTGGTCCAGCAGCTGATTACTAAAAATGTTTAGTACCATGTTGTAAATGGTTTTAGCTCATTTTTATCTGCTATGTTTATGCCTTTGATGATGCATTTTATGGCTGATTGTCTATTACTAGACTTTACTGCATTTGTTTATTGCTGTCAGCCACCTTGAGCACCACTTGCTAGAAATGCAGGATGCAAATGTAACTTAGGGTGCAGTCCTATGCATACTGAGAGAGAAAAAGGTCTACAACTCCCTGCATCTCCAGCCAGCATAGCTGGGTGTTGCAGGCCTTTCTTCTATCTAAGTTTGCATAAGACTGTGCGTCAATATATTTAACTAATCAAAAATAATAGCCTCTGTCATTATTCCTGCTTAGAGAAAGTCCATAGAAATGAATGGGACAAGTTAGTAATAAACAATTTAAATTGCATTTATTTATATGGTCTACTCTAAATTGTAACACTGGCTACTATGAAATCTATTTTTTTTTATTTTAATGCACTTTCTGAACTTAAGTGCTGCACTTTAGGTAAAATTAGAGACAGGCCCTGCTTACAAGCATAACAAAAATGTTATGAATAGGATGGGAAAATAAGTGAAAACCAGCAAAGAAATGTGAGAAAACTTAAACACCAGGCAACAGAAATGTGTCTCCAAATGCTATCTTCTTAGAATCCTTATGGTTATCCAGCCTTATGACTCCAAACATAAACACTCACCAAGATCCTCAACTTCACTGCTACTGCTTGGGCACTCCACTAAGGTAAGCATGGGGAAAGGGCTGTGATACCATGCTTTGGGGCAGAAATATCGCATCTCTATATGTCCATGTCACAACCCTAATTCCAAGCAGCAGACTAGCTAATGGCAAGGCAGCTGGGTACCCATAGTTGGAGTACTAGTAGTGTTCCACCTCATTTCCACAATTACCCTCACTGGCCGTGGCTTTCTTGTCATTCAAACCCAGCAAGGATAGGTGAGTGGCAAGGGTGGCTTCCGACCCAAAGCCTAAAACAAACCATGCTTGAAAACCACCCTCTCTGCCCACCTCATCAGGTATGGACAACATGGCAATCCATGCCTAGCATGAATAATCACTGAAATGAGATGGTACATGGCCAGTATGCACCGGGGGGCGGGGGGGGAGGAGGGGAATAGAAGCCATCCTTTTAATTTCCAAGTCATGGGAAACTAGCCAGAATCCATTTCCTATATTAAAAGGAGTGCAGACTGTGGAAGAATTAAGGCCACAGTTCCAATGCCAGGCTCAAGTTTCCAGCCAGGACCACCTTGATTGTAAGCCCACTGAGTCTGCCTCACACCTCGAAGCCAGCAAGTTTCACCCACCATAGTTAATAGCAGCTTGGAGGGCAACCTGGAGCTATCTCCCTCTCCCATGGTGTGACCCCAATCTAAATCACCTGCATGGTCATTTTTTGAGAAGGGAAAAAGCATTGGGAACTTCAGGCACAGAGCTCTCATGCCCCACCTATGAGTAGTCTGACCCTTACTTAACAGCTTTGTGGTGCCTTCATACACAGGATACCACAAATGCAGGTGTGTTCCTTCTGGGAAGGAGGCCGGGGCGGGGAGACCATTTAGCTTTGTTAATGAATGCAAGATACTCCATCCACTGCTGCTGCTGACTAAACACTTGTGACCCATTTTTCCTTACAGGGTATAAGGCAGTGCAAGTGGGGTGGACCAAACAGAAGCTGCAGAGTTCCAGTGTAGCTTCCTGCTCTGGATGGGTGAGCATTGCTCTAATGATCTCATTATATTATAGGTGACTCTCCAAATACTGGCACTGGGGGCACTACTGATGGTAATGTGGGGTCCAAAGCTGAGGCATGTGGAATGGGAAAGCACCTAGACTGACTTTTTCAGCCAACAACTTCTAATAGGTCAAAATAACTGTTGTAGATGTTGTTCATCCCTGCCACCATGTTCCTCTTGTTTCTCCACAGGCAGCCATTCAATATTCAGCAACGAGGATGTTCTCCCCTCTCAGTGCCATGCATACTGCAAGCAAGCCCTTTGACAGCAGTAGTGAAAAGCCAGCTGTTCCTCTGCAGGATGGCCACCTTTGTGTTCTAGCAGGGTTCACGTGCCATTGCAGAACACCTCACAGACAATAATGTAACAAGTGCAACATTTACTTAATGTGGAAACAATTGTGACAACAGCTGCACCTGGTTCATTCTGTTGTTTTCAAAGGCACAGGGGCCCTGATAGGAATAAAAGAGTTGGCAATCTAATTCTTCTTGGTACTGTCAGTCCAAAACTAATATTGTTCAATAAACGCTGTGACTGTATCTATTGTGACTGTTGTTTCTCTTTTTTCATGATGATTAGCAGATAGAAAACTGTCTCCAGCAGATACTAGCAATTCACAAAATGGAGATAGGGAGTATGATACAACAGGGTGCGGGGAGCTGGCCAAAACTAATGAAAGGTTGAGACATAAGAGCTGAGTGCAAGTGTTGGCCTATATGCCAGTTACTTTTGTTGGTGAACTGTAAGTACTGTTTTAGGTGTACATGTTTCCCCTCCTTAGGAGACTACTGAGAGACTGAACCAATCTCACATTGTTAAACGCACATTTTACTATGGCTTGTCCCATGTTATGACAGGAATGTAAGGCATTGTCCAACTTGTTTTAAATGGCCCTGATCTAAAGAGCTATTCTGGTTGCACACCAGTGGGAGTTTTCAATTTTGTATCTTTCAAAGGCTATTTAAAATATACACCCAACAGTACAATTGGTAGCATTTAACTACAGTGCTGTAATATTTACTCGACTACATTATCTCCAGTTAATCCACTGCTTCTGTGATTGACTTTAGAGGACTTGATGCTACAGCAGTACAGTGTTCTGGCTACCATTATATTAGGGAAGGCAGGAATTGTTCATTGTGGTATTTACTCTTTGGCATTTACGGTACACTAATATTATGTTTTAACCTTATATGCAAAAGAATGGGAGGTTTGCCATAATTTACATCAAGAACAGCAATCTCAACAGAAACTGCACAAATGCCACACTTGTTCTCTCTGCAGCACTGAAGGTTTTTCCTGACTGTAAGGAAGAAGGCTCCTTTATTATCCAGACATACCCAAGTTAGGAAAAAACCCTCTTTACTCATCTGTCACTAAAAATACTGCTTCAGTTTTCATAACAGCCACTTGTTTAACCAACTGACATTGTCAATCTTGTCTTCCTACAGAAAGAATTTCCTGTTCCCGAACAGTTCAAGACATCATGGGATGGGTCCAAGTTGGTTACTGACCCTACAGAGATTGTGGGTTAACTTCTTAGGGCTCTACAGAAACCGCTGACCACAATCTCCAAAGAAATTCTGCCTAGCGGAAACAGCAGCATGAAGAACTAGAAGTAGCACTAGTTTCTACTGCAGCAATAGGCCTTCAAGCAGCTATTCTGTGTCCTATAAACTATAGACTGTACCACATGTGCTATTTTTCCTTCAGTGAAATTCTTGCTATGAAGGAAAAAAGCATAGTGAAGTATCTGGTTCCTTTTGAAGACGGCATGGATATGTATTTTGCCATGGCTACACATACTTACAAACCACTGTTTGCACCCGGTACACTTTTTGTAGGCTTCCTGATATTCTTAAAATGTTCACAACTTGCCTCTGTCTGAAAATAGATAATACATAATGTCATGTGAATGTATACAGGTTTTTGAAGTTCACAATTCAGGTTATTGGCTCTTTCACTGCATACTGTAAGCCAAATGTCTGCATGATACACTGCACAATGTTTCAGTGCATTCCTTTTTATGTTTTGGCTCTTTTAAAATGTACTTTTTAGATTTGAGATTATTTGTGTATCATATTGTACAGCAGGACCCCAGAAGGTCTGTGGTTCATATAGGCCTTTGAAGAAATGCAACTCTCTGTTACACATTTGCTAATAGAAAAGAAAACCCATCTGTTTTCTCTAACTATCATCCATCTCCTGTTTTCAGTAAGGCAAGTTAACTTGATTCTTTCCCCTTTTGTTTCACATTAACTCAACATTTTTAAAACTTTCTCAATTCTACTGGCCTATCCCACACTAGAGGCATTAAAGATGCAACTGGACAGCCATCTGAGAGGGATGATTTAACTGGGGTCCTGCACTGAGCAGGGGGTTAGCCCCGATAGGCCTCTGGCCCCTTCAAATTCTATGATTCTATGACTGTAATAATTCACTTGTGGGCCATGTCTTAGTTACAATAGTACTTAGTAGTCTAATATGAACAAGTGGACATTTATTAAGAAATGCAAGGGTCTTGTTATTTCTCTTGGGTCTGTCAGATGCTAAGTATTTCTAGAAAACTACAGGTCTGGAAAGAACCGGAAGATTGCAGTGTATTCTAATGGTAGCCAGTTGCTGGCCTATAAGCCAGATCTGGTTACTTAGGAACCATAACCATTATGAATCAAAATGTAGTTAACGTATAACTCCCAATGAAAGGAATTGGGTTTTTTTTCCAAAAATTTAAGAGAGCTATTCCTTATTTCAAAGTTACAGCCCTCTTAGTATGTTTTGTGTAATAGTCCAGCTATGCCTGCACATATATATGGTTTGTCTGAAGCCCTTTCTTCTAAATGGCACTAATTTTATTATTCAGCCTGCAGTAAGGTGCTAAACTTTGCAGTAAAAACACTTGCAGACTACTAAATGGAGATTAGAGTGACTCCTAGTAATTCAGAAGTTGACCATCCTAGTTAGAGATCTTGCTTTGTATAAGGAATAGTGGTGATTGTAGTTCTGCTTTTATTTCCAGTTGTAAAGGATGAATGCAAATCTTCAAAAACATATGTGAAAAAAGCCATGGATTATGTGTGACTAAATTCTAAACTTAAATGGGAAGGATTGTATTTTTGGTGGGGAAGGTTTAATTCTATATTCCATACTATTAATTTTTAACACAAATGTAAAGTGTAGTACATGAATAATTTAAGCACATAGTACTTAATTCATGTATGACTTTGATTATATGTAATATTCCTTAACAGTGAAATAATAGTATGCTTGCAAAACTAAATCAGGATATAAACTGTGCCTACTGCACCTTACAAGATACATAATTCTTTTTAAAATTATATTTGATTTTAACAACTATACAGTATTACAGCAAATAGTGCTCATAATAAGATTTTGCTACCTAACATTTGATCTATACATTTCATGTTGTGGCTTCAGAACATGCCATTTTTCAATAGTTAACTGCTGACACAAAAATAAAAATTGTAACTTGTTAATATGGTGGAAAGGATGATTTATTGTACCAAGCATGTACTTCCATGTGCTAGTTTGGAAATTGTTTTTATTCTTAATAACAACTTAGAAGAGCCTCACTAATAAATCTGCTTTGTGGTGTACTGTCTGCATTTGAAAAGAACATTTAGCATTAAAAGAATCAGCTGACTGTTATGTATACCAGCTGCAGCCCTACTGGGAGCAGCCAGATCAGGCTTCGGTCACCCGTGCACTGGTTACCTCTGCAATGCCCTGTATTTGGGGTTACCACTGAAGACAGCCCGGAAGCTACACCTGTTGCAAAATGTAGACACCCATGTGCTGCCAGGGGCCAGAATTTCTCAATCCATGATTATGATTATATAGCAGAGCACAAAATTCTAATTTCATACTATTCACATTGACTAAAGAAATTCTTCTATATCACAGACTCCCACCATGTTTACAAATTTGAGGGATAATTTTAAAAATCCATTTTCATAAGAATTATCTTGGCATAATTGCGGAAATTAACTGTTTGAATGTGAGCCTGTGTACAGTCTTCTAACTACATTTAAAAACAAAAATCACAGATAGGGAATTGCAAATTCATTCCTCATTTTCTTTAAAGGGAATCTAGAAGTCTGGCTTTTTGTCAACTCATGCTGAGGTAGTGATTCCACATAGCCACCAGGTGGCAGAAAGCCACTGAAATTTAAATGATTTCCAAACATTCTTTGAAGATGACAATATCGTTTTCAAAATATATCAATAATGATGCAGTCTTATACATACTTGGAAGTAAATTCCAAGGAATACAATGGGTCTTATTTCTGAGAAAACAAGTATAGGATAGTACTGTTGGTACATTAATTTTTAAAAGAAACAAATCCTAGACCTAAGGAAAATTATGCAATCTAAACAAGATGTATATTAACATATGAAAAAAATTAGTTTCTTGTATGCAATCATATGTATAATTTCCAAAAAAGAAAATGGTTCCATAGTTATTAATGTCTACTTGTATGAATAAACATGCTTACAGTCAGGTTAGAGCAAAGCACCAGCGGAAGAGTACACATGTTCAGATAACTGAATTGTTGTTGCTACGTGCTATCACGACATCTGCGTTATGACAACCCTTTGAATGAATGCTCTCCAAAATTACCCATCCCTAACAGCTGTGCAGCTCTTGTATATTCAAGGCCATGGCTTCATGCAGTCAATCCATTTCATATTTGGTCTTCCTCTTCTGCCTTCACCTTTCGCTAGCATGATTGTCTTCTCCAGTGTGTCTTGCCTTCTTGTGATATGCCCAGTGTACAACAGCTTCAGTTTTGTCATTTGTGCTTCCAAGTGAATGTTCTGACTTGATTTTATGTAGGACCCACTTGTTCATCTTTGTCAGTCCAGCACAAGCAAAGTTCTCTTCCAGCACCACATTTTGAACACATTAATTCTCTTCCTGTCAGCTTTCTTCATTGTCCCCCTCTCATTTCCATACATAATGATCAGGAATACAATAGAGTGATCTTGGTCTCCAGTGAAACATCCCTATGCTTGAGTATCTTTTCTATTTCCTTCATTGCTGCCCTGCCAAGTCTGATTCTTCAAATTTCTTGGCTGCAGCCTCTGTTTGAATTGATAACTGTGCCAAAGCATGCAAAGTATGTATTGTTGCCAGAAAAGTTCTGTAATTCTTTTGTAGTCATGATTTCTGTTTTCTTAATGTTCAGCTGCTGCCCTGCTTTTGCACTCTTTTTTTACTTTCATTAGGAGTCGTTTCAATATATTGCTGCTTTCAGCTAGTAATATAGTATCATCCACATATCATAAAATTACTGATATGTCTTCCATCAATTTTCACTCATTTCTCTAATCCTAGGAAATAGAATGGAAACTTACTATTTAAGTATCATCTTGCCTAGGCATGCAAAATCATTTTTTTCCACACAGATGTAGCTATGTTGCTATCCTAATGTTGTGCTATGCTGCAGTGGTAATATATCATTCTGGATTATTTGCATGCAAGTTTAAGCTCTGAGCTCTAGAACCTACACAGCCTACATGTGCTTATTTAGGAGCAAGTCACCCTGAACTTTGAGTCAGTATGCATACAATCAGGCAGCAACACCTAAACTCAGCCCAAATCCATTCCTAAGCAGATCTAATTAAAAGCAAATTCATGCTTTTGGCTTGAATTTGAATATTATCACCTTTGCTTTCTACATACATTTCCCAAAGTAGGTCAGTCCTAAATAATCTTTTAATGGAAATAGAAAAGAATAGAAATATTCTTAAAATGTATCTTAAACCTATTCCCTAACACAAATGTTTAGAAATGGGATGTCAAGCATTTCCATTAACTGAATAGACTGATAAAAGAGGTTTGGCTTTCTGTCCAATCTGTGCTAAGTAATTCAAGCAAGTCTTTTGTTCATCATGTAGAAGGCAAAAGCGCATAAAATATTCCCAGAACAGGAATAAGCAACTAACAAAATTTCAGATGTTTTGGCCCATTGTCAGTTATGCTGGCTAGAACTGCTGGGAGTTGTAGCCCCCCCCCCAAAAAAAAAAAAAAGGCAAGAGGGCCATAATTTATATTATAGTTTGACTAATTCCTAACTGATTTACAAAAGGAATATTAAAAATATTACCTTATAAGAGATTGTTTCAAACTAGTTCATAGTTGGGGAAAACCCAAAATAAGTGTTCAATAAATGCTTTCAAAAATGAGCAAAAGATGAGAGTCCTTTGATGCCTGGCATATTATGACAGCAGTATACAGGACAACCACTACTACAAAGAAAGCCCTTTTCCATGTTACCCTAAATGGAAATCTGTCAGGTGGAACCTCGACAACAGGGCCTCCCTTTAAGATTGCAGTGACTTGGAAAGTTCATTCCTTGATATAAACTTGACCCTAATAATGTAGAACTTTGTATGCTAACATCAACAAATCTAGCTCAGAGGGGCAACCACTGAAGATCCTTTAGAATATGTGAAATGAATTCACAGTGAGGCACCCCAGTCAGTTGCCACTTGACACTGCCCTAGATGCACAGCAGCTAGGAACAGATTTGTTCCTGTGGAAGGCATGTCAATTTGCTTCAGATAATTTATTATACATAAATAATAATCTGGGTCACTGCTCTTACAAAGATATGTACATGTTTTTCTGTTGCAACAAAAACAGTCCTGTCGCACCTTTCTGATATGTTTAAGGCACAATCCTGTGCCATTTAAGAAATACCCAACTTTAAGATGGGCAAAAGGCATACAAGTCCCAACATGCCCCAAGCAGCATGTCTGACTGAGGCATGCTAGGAATTGTAGGTTTTTTAAAAAACTGCCTAAATTTCATAAGACTGTGCCCTTATTCTGGGATTAAGATGGCACAAAACCCTTCACTGCATGTGGATATGGCATCCTTCCCCATGCTGGGACTTGCCAGATGGGTTGGACTACAAATCTTATCATCTCCCTGCCAGCAGGTGGTCAGATCTGCAAGGGTGCACTGGAGGGGGCCCTCAGGGGGCTGAAGTACCTATTTTGGAGGAGGCCCTCCAGGGAGGAGCTGCTGGATCCCTGAAGCCAGGGTCACTGTCCCTCCCTCACTGCCTCTCAAGAGACTTAATTTTGCTGGCTAGTCTGGCAGCTGCCACTGGGTTGGAGTCCTGAATTTAACTGGTGAAGAACTGGGGTATTTTTATGGCAGTTCCCAATAATTCCTGTGAACTATCTACCTGGAGAGGCCTGCTAGGCCATGTGTTTTCTATGACACTTTCCCTCATGGTCAGCCTCTGCACCTCAGCAATGTGTGGGCAGCTTGCCTCTGCTGCTCCAAAAACTACCTTCCATCCTCACTGTTCCACTTATTCATGTCTGCACTTCAGTTGTGAAGGTCTGAATAGGCAGAGTGGCTTCAAGGTCACAGATGTTCAAATTTATTTTTTTTGCAAGGGAGTACTTGTCAATTATAGCAGCTAAGTTTCATTTGTCCTTTTTGCATAGCAGACTGGGAGCCATTTCTGTTTTGTGTTGAAGGGTAAACAAGAGTGCTACTTTGTATTCAGTTCTTCCTATGGTCTTAGTTGGTGTTGAACTTTACAGGGCGTTCTGAGTTAGTTAGGCAGGCCACAAACAGTGTTTCGAACTGCAAACAAGCTCTGATTAATTCCTTCTTCAAAAACCCAAAGAAGTTGCAGGGAACGAGAAGGCTGTAGCTGCAGAACAGACAGTGAACCCTTATTATACCATGCTATTAAGCCGTCTGGTTGCAGCAGACGGTCACCGTGTAGACCCAGAAGTCAGTACTTTGAACAGTATCTGTGAAAGTAGGAAGGACAGTCAGGTGGTGTCAGTAATGTCTGCCCAGATATTTCGTCACTGGAAGCTCAGTGAGCCACTGCAGGCCAAAGTCTAACTTACCTCAGAGGCTGTGGTGAGGGTAAAGTGGAGCTATGCATGCTGAATGAGGTTCTTCACAAGGAGAAAAGATGGGGTATAAATGCAGTGCAACGCTAATAATACTAAGGGAATCCTCCTACACAACAACGAATTGGCGGGCCTGTAGAGACACACTCACCCCCACCTCTTCCCTTACTGCTCCAATATCAACCCCCTTCTTTGCTGCGGGCGGCAAGGAGAATCTAAGAATTAAAACGATGGGCCTGGCTGATACCATCCGACACATATCAGAGCAGTCACTAGGGGTGGTTAACCCGAGTCATTCCTTTGCCCGGCCTCTTTGCTCTCCTCCCTCTGTCTGCGGCAGTGACGTTAATATTACGTAGTTGAGTTGAGTCAGGCATGTCTTGTCAAGATAGAAAAAAACGGTACGCGGGGAAAGGGATGGTTTCGCGCCTGCGCAGTGAGGGCTGCAGGCAGTGACAGGCACCGCGGCTGAGGCCTTTGGGCCGGCGTTATGGAAGAGCTCCGCGAGGTCCAAAGCAACGGCGACGGCGGTGGCCCTGGCGAAGGAGGCACCGCCGCAGCCGCTGGCTCGGAGGCGCTCAGTGCGGGAGAGTACTCGCGGCGTGTACACCAATGGCTTTGGGACTCGTACTGCGGATACCTGAGCTGGCAGAGCGGCCTGGCAGCGCTCATGGCCGGAGCTGCGACCGCGGCCGCCTCTGCTTCTGGCCCGGCCCCCGGCGGGTACTACTACGGCAGCAGCCCCTGCTACTACTTCTTTGCGACCCCTCCGGCCCCCTCTGCCGAGGCCGGCCCCGTGCCCTCCCGCGCGGCCTCGGCTTGGCAACCGCCGACGGGCAGGCAAGCGCCCCTTGCCCAACGAGCGGGCCCCGCCCCCTCCAGCTCGCAGCGGGAATCCGGCCGGCCGGCAGGTGAGCTTTCATAGGGTGGGGCGAACGACCCGGGGGGAGGGGCGGAGGCTGGGGGCCAGGTCAAGCTGGTGATGTTTCCGTGAGCTGGTGGTGGATCACAATGCTGGATAACATCCCTGGGTGGAAGGCATGCTGGGCAGGGAGGAATGGGAGCCTTGCAGGTTGCATGACAAAGTTAGTGGGGTTCGATCCAGATTGAGACGAGAGCAACTGCGCTGCAGGAAGTGGACTTCTTCGCCCACTCCTTCCTTCCTTCCTTCCTTATTTGTTTATTTATAATATTTATATCCTGTCCTACATGAAAAGAATGTCCTAGGACGACTTACAAAAATTATAACAATGGTAACAACAACGAATAGCAATCATAAACAACAAAAACATAATACTAGCAAAGAATCAAAAACTAAACAGAAAGGAACTGTGAGTGTTAAAACGGATTAAAATTTCTAATTCTTAAAATGATGGGTAAATAAAAAGGTTTTCACCTGGCGCCAAAAGGAATATAAAGTCTGTGCCAGGCAACCCTTTCTGGGGAGTGCATTCCAGAGTCTGGGCGTCACTGCAGAGAAGGCCCTTCTCCAGGTAGAGACCTTTACCTCCTGCAGGGAGGGTTCCCAGAGCAGAGCCTCTTCGGCAGATCTTAGGGGGTGCAAGGGCATATGGGGAAGGAGGTGTTCCTTCAGGTATCCTGGTCCCAAGCTGTTTAGGGCTTTATAGGTTAACACTAGCACCTTAAATTGGGTTCATACTTCAGTCCTGTCCTTCTCAGGGCAGCCTCTCAGCTCCTTGAACATGCTACAGAGGGGGTGGTTTGTAGAATGAAAACACTTTAGAGTCATTTGTTGTGAATTGCAGTAGGTGCCAGGTGTGGTTTGCATAACCAGTACTGGGCTGCAGTTTGTCTCTTCTGAACCCAGGCACTATGGCTTGTTAGAGAATTAAGCAACCCTCAAAAAATGCATGGACTGCTGTCGATAGTTTCCTTTGATCATCAACAGTAAGAGACCTGGTGGTTTGGGGAGGTTGGATCCTTATTGGAGCCCTTATTCTTGCGGAAGACTCCTATCCAACAAAGAGTCTCATGGCACTTTTAAGAATGAATATATTTTTTGTGACTGAAGCATCTGACTTCTGCTTTCTCAGATGACAGGTTCACACACGCACACTCAAAACCAAATCAAAGTATTTGAGAATCATAGAATAGTAGATTTGGAAGGGGCCAAAAAGGCCATTGGGTCTAATCCCCTGTTGTTGCAGGTCACCCATTTACACCATTCCACTTATACAGTGAAGTTACAAAGACTAATAATAAATCTGTTAGTTTTTAAGGTTCCCTGTGACTTTTTTGTTACATGTACTAAAACAGTCCAGCAGTGCATCTCTGTACATGTCTACTTAGAACTAAGTTCATTTAATAACTGGATGTAGGAGTCCAGCATAACATGGCTGTCCCTCTAGTAATGTTTAGCAAAGGTGGGCATGGAAGGGTGGCTTGAATGTAATCTGTAAACTGTAATCTGTAAATTGTAAGGGTGGACTCTTGATACAAAAGGAAAAAGAGGAACTGTTCTCTGTAATTAATCAGTTTTAAAACATTACACAAGGGGAGCAGAGAAATTTATTAAATTCCTTTTAACCCCTCTTTTTCTCCTTGATTTGCTTTGTAATCTAATTTACCACATATTTACCTCATAATAATTTTTCCCATTTTCCATGTTCAGCATTCTGATAATTTATTTCATTTATTTATTTACATATATTTATAGGCCACCTATACTTGCCGAGGCCTTCCTAGGCGGCTTACAATGTACAACATACCAACAGAATAAAAATGCATTAAAAACCAATTAATACATAATAAATTAAACATCTATAAAAACAATTTAAAAGGCCCACAGCATATGGCTAAACATTAAAAACATTCCTAAAAAGATATGTCTTTGCCTGGTGCCAAAAGAAAAATAGAGATGGTGCCAGGCAAATTTCCCTAGGAAAGGAGTTCCAGAGATGGGGAGCAGCAGCAGAAAAGGCCCAGGAAAATCAGCAGTATCCTGAAATAGTATCATCTTACATTTATCCTGAAATAGTAGTATTATCTTACATTCCTATAAATTTAAAATCAAGATTTAAATAATTCTGTAACATGCAGATGAATCTACTGCTTTAAATTGGAAAGATCTTGCTAGTATTTACAAAGGAACTCCAGGAACAGTTACAATATTAACTGTTCTGCTTTTAAAGTAACAACATGCAGAAAAAATAATTCATATATAGAAAGACTGTAATTAGCCTATCTATAGCTTTATATCATCAGCATAAGAGAGCCTCAGCTATTGAGTAGTATAAAACTAAAATAAATGCAATAAATAACATTTTTTGGCTCTTTTTAAGAAGAATCTTGCTGGACCCCATCAAAGACTCACTGGTTTAACAGCTTGTTTTCAAAAGTTTCTAGTGAAATGATTCTACAAAGCCAACAGTAACTTGGCATGTAATGTTATACATATGTACGAGAAATAATCCTGCAGCTCCTAGCATTCCCCATCAGCATGGGTGGCTGGGGAAAGCTGGCAGTTATAGGAATTTTTTTTCTGAACGTGCATAGGATTGCATCCTTAGTGGGACTTACCAGATGAGCACAAAAAACCCAGTGATCCCAGTGCCAACTCTTCTTTGACCCAAAATGTCTTGCCTCTTTGCTTTGAATTGACAGCTTGCCTTTTTGCAGCTGTCAAGACAAAACAAAGTGCAAAACAAACAAAACCCCAAGTAAACCCATTTTGGAACCTTTCTGGATCTGTGTCTGTTTGGTATCTCCTACCAAAACATCCCCAAGGACATTACCCAGGTGAGATTCACATTTTTACATATGTGGAAATGTACACACTTGCATCTCCAGGATTATGCAATTGTAGGTTGAAAAGTAAAATTATTTGTGTTCGTTTGGGGTGTACCATTTTTTTGGAGGAGTGGTGTAGCACTCATAGTCCATCCGGTGTGCTGCTTGAGCATTTCAGAGTCACTGTTAGTGAGTCAGAGTCACCCCAAGGAGAGTGGTATAGGGTCAGACAACACAACAACCAAGTATGGCTTACTGCCCATGGTAGATAGTCATGTTGTGTGAACAGGTAGCTATCAAATAATTTGAGTTTATCTATGTTTCATAGTCTTTTTTCAGGCTGTTTATTTTTTCTTCAAGTATATTATAATACTGAACATTCTGTTTTGTTTGTTTTGTTTTTGTTTTGCTTTGCTTTGCTTTAGGTCGTGAATATATTATTCCATCCTTGGCCCACAGATTTATGGCAGAGATGGTGGATTTCTTTATTCTCTTCTTTATCAAGGCAACCATAGTATTAAGTATTATGCACCTTAGTGGAATTAAGTAAGTTAACCAATGCATAATGTGATTATAACAGATTTATCTTCTCTATTTCTAAGCAGCTGTACACACAGTTCCCAGGGATGTGTATCTGGGTTATTTTGCTACAGACTGCAGGTGGGGCTTATATGACTGGATGCTCTGCCATACCAAAATAAATACACAAATAACTGAGAAACAAAAATTAGATATTAAGGCGGCTTCTAGTATAGCCATCTCCCTGACAATTCTAGGCTTTGATAGAAGGGTATTTTTCTTGTACAGGAAGATGTACCATCATATGACTCCCCGTAAGAATCATTCAAACACTGGTTTATAACTTCAGTGAGAGCAAGACCTGTATGTATATGGGAAAGAGTATAAACCCTGAATAACCGCTTGATTTATTTTATAAAAGTTTACTTATAGATAAGGGTCTCTCTTCACAAGCTGATACTGCCATCCCTCAGTAGTATGCTTTGAGGCTCCGCAGTTACAGCAGTGACTGCGGAGCACAACAGTTGTTGAATGTCGGTGACTAGACCCAACTGTGTATATCCTAGCCATATAGAGAAATGTATTTGACAAATATTGGTCAACTTCCTTTTTAAATCATGACAATTCTGTTAGCTTCCCATAATGCACTTGAACTTGGTACATTCTGATAATCATCCAGCACTATATTGGTTGAGATTTTTTGCCTAGTACACCCATGTGTATACATGTTGAAATATTGATTGCCATGTGGCTTTGGAGAGGTTGACTATTAGCCTCTCCTGATGTGGGGATAGGAATGTTGATGTGGGGCTGAAGCCAAGAGCAGTTGACTTGTTGAAAGCAATCTAGTGAGTTCATGATGGAGGGGGATTCACCGTGGAACTTATTACATATACTAGCTCTCTTGACCTTGTAGATGTAGAATCAAGCTGTGGATTTTTAAAGAAAGGGAGGAACTTCCTAAATTTGAAATGAGTATACATTTCCTACTTTAAGTAGAAATGATTGCAAGAATAAGCAGGATCCAGTTGAGGATTGTGTGATCTAAATGTAACTGGGACATTGAAATCTAAGTGCAGGTTATTAATTCTATTGGCTATTTAATTCTCTGCTCATGAAAACAAGTTCCCCATCTGCTAGATGCTTACTTTTCTGTCAGGAAACTGTCAATTGAATGACAGTCTGTATTTTACTGTAATACTATTTATTGGAAGTCTGTAGAGTGCTTATGTGCTTATGTTACTAACATGAAAATTTCAATGCAGGGATATCTCCAAGTTTGCAATGCACTACATTATAGAGGAAATAGATGAGGACACTTCCATGGAAGACTTACAGAAAATGATGATTGTGGCTCTTGTCTACAGATTGCTAGTCTGCTTCTATGAGGTATCTCTATGAAAGTGGTAGGAAATCCACAGTATTTTCCTAAAACATCTAACCTGTTATTCTAAGAACATAAGAAATTAACAGTAAATATTGAGGAAAGCATTCAGAAAATCCACTGACATCATCTGACATGATCTCTCCTCTGAGTTATGTCAGGCCTCAGCATTGGCTTTTATTTGAAAGTGTCTGTCTGTTTTGACATTTCCATGAGCTGTCTTCATACCATCCTTGTGATACATGTGTTTGTGTGAGTGTGTGTGCGCCCTGGAGAGGAGCTTTGCTTGATTTGAATATTATTCTTGTGTAAACACCTTGGGGACTTAAGGCTCTATTACATTTTGATAGAACCAGTGTAAAGTTATGTTGATAGGAACGAGCTTCATTCTTGATGTTTGGGCTCATTTATTCAGCAGGAGCAGGCTGCAGGTTAGTCATTCCATCCCAGCAATCACCCTGATTACACAAAAGATTTATGTCTATTCTAGGTGCATGAAGATAGCTTCATTAACATAATGTCAGATGAAGGTAAAACACAGCCCACTGCTGACAAAGTCAAAATTACTTCTTTCAGATTATATGTATTTGGGGAGCAGGTGGAGCAACCCCTGGGAAATTTCTGCTTGGCCTGCGAGTTGTGACATGTGATACATCTGTACTTATTGCACCAAGTCGCGTCTTAGTGATTCCGTCCTCTAAAGTGAGCATGACAACGTAAGTTACCTTTTTTGTATTGTTGGTGTCTGTTCCAGTGCAAGTTGTAATTCATATTTTTTTCCTAGCAATATTGTGTAAATTAATATTCTCCTCTCTGCTACACTGAGCTTGGGATTCGCTTTAAAGAATGTTTGTCCCACTGCTCAATCCTAATTTCCAGAGTAGTTTAAACCTAACTAAACTTAATCAAAGACTTTAAAAAGCCTAAATAAACTCGCAGCAAAGTAAAACAGTAACACAAAGGCAGTAAAAGGGTTGATTTTCTATGGATGGAAGGGAGGGCATATTTCCCGAAGAAGAAAGTAGTCATTTCAGACTCTCCTTTGAATTCTTCTGAATGTTTAGGTAACAATAGCAAGTGGTTCTTGAAAAGAGAAATGATCCCAAACAATATACCCAGTTTGGGTATACCCAATAGTCTTCTTCCAAACCACAAGGCCACCATAACAACAACTTAATCCATGGTCAAAAGGGATCTGGCTCATTTATCTTACCGTGCATTGGCCTTTGAACTTTGCATAACAATTGGAAGAACTGGACAATCCACAATTCATTTTTAACATGCTTTTTCATACATATTACTCAGACATTTACTAATTCACCACAGAGGCATATCATAGAAGGTGCAATAAGGAGTAGGTCTATCTCCTCCTGCCTTTCCTGCTGTGTCCCCAAGATCTTTTGCTATGTTCCTGTGGATCTGGCAGTTCCATTCTAAACAGTATTACCTGTGTTTAGTTATTCAGTTCTTAGCACTTTCTGAATGTTAGACAAATCATATTGGCTACAATTAGAAGTAATTCAGCATTGTTAATACAGTCACTGAAGCCTCTGAACTATCTGTAATGCTGTGTTGCAACTTACATTGTACCACTGACATCTTCTGTGAAAAGAAGGCGTTTGTTTAATGAATGACAGAAGACATGCACTGCTGAGTCATTGCAGCAGTAAATTATCATGAAAGACAAACATAGTTATGGGAAGAAATAATACTTCAAATGAACAAAAATTATGATTATTATGAGAGCAAAATTCTTAATGAAAGCTGACATACATATTGGGTTTTTGAATGATGTAGTCTTCTGAGAATAATTTGTTTTTTAGTATAACTGCTATAAGCAATTGTGTACCAATGCATCAGTGCTCTCCAGTCTAGACAACAAACTGTAGAGATGTTGTATTTTTTCTTCCAGATCTACAATACGAGCTTTGATCAAGAATTTTTCTATTGCTTCCTTCTTTCCTGCATTCATTACTCTGCTGTTCTTTCACCATAACCGAACAGCTTATGATATTGTAGCAGGAACAATTGTGGTAAAAAGACATAATGTCAGATGATATCAAGAAAGTCTTGATTTGCTGTTCAAATATGCTGATTACATCTTGTTGATTATCTTGTTGGATTTCTGAATCTCACTCCAGAATGCCCGTGAAGACAGTGAACTTTTTTTTCAAACAGTGCCATAAACATTGGTGGGAAATGGCACAAGTTTAATTGGAAAGTATTTGAACTGAGCAAGAAAACTAGTTGTCTTCAAGACATTGGCAGTTTTACAGTAAGAGCACTGCACAAGGAATACTAGTACTACCATTTGGCGTCTACAAATCTTCAAAAAGTAGATTTATTTTTTATGAACATCTGGACTGTTCTTATTACTGAAGGGTAACCAAAAGGTTTACAGTGTTTGTGAGGGAAGCTATACTAAAAAAAGTTGTATCCTCCTATTTTGTTGGACTGCTAAGGGTTTGCCACTTTATAAAAGCCTTATCATGAATCGCTTGCACAAGCATTGTATTATTTTAACACTCAAAACTTTTCTGTAAACATTGTGTTAAATGTCTTTGCATGATGTGGATCTCTTGAACATAATACAAGAATCACTGAACATGCCAGCTAACATGGGAGGCAAGTAATACTGGTATTAATAGGTAAATATTGGAAGCTGTAGCAGTATGACTATAGAGATGATTGCAATTTTAATCATTGGTTTAGATGGATAATAAACTTTTTTATCTTTTGCCCTCCCATCGTACAAGCTCTTATATAGATTTTCATGGAGGCTTAAGAGTTTCTTGTAAAAAAGCACAGAAAATCGGTGCAAGAATCTTAGATTTGTTTCAGATGTATTTGGTAAGAGCCAAAATAAGCTTGATGGAAGCAAAGATTTTGCAGAGCATTTGGCACCTTTTTATAACAGAATAGTTAAAAAAGCTAGTTACCGTTTCTAAAGCAATGCAGGGAATTTGTGCAACATTTGATAAATATAAATAAGGATCCTTTTCATTTTATATGGTTGTATGCCTAGATAACTTAAATTATACTTACTGAATAAAGCATATTGTGCATGTTTTGTTTTTACTTACACTGTATTAACTGAATAGCTAATTCATCAATTCTAAGTGTTTTGGGCTGATAGACCTCTTTAAAAGTATTAGAACACTCTATCACTTTATTGTTCTGTTATGATAAAATACAGCTCTATAACTAGAAAAAGATTTCTATAAGGAACATATTCAATAGGGTAATGTCAAATCATATTTCTCACAGCAGCCATTTAAAAAGTAGTCCCTGTATTATTATGCTGGTGTTTCAATGTCTTGAAAAAACCTTGAGAATCTGAGCCATCTATTTTCTATAGCAGCAGGTGGTTCTTGTACTTAAGCAGGGATCTCAGATCACTGAGGACAGAGAAATGGCTAGAGGTAACATTTCAACTTATTGAATTATCAGCAGCATTATTTTAATTACTGCATTATGTATAACTGCAATTTTACTGGGGAAAAGCAAAGAATGCTAGTATTTCTCCTTTCCCAGAATTCTGAGTGTTCAAGCAAAGGTAAATGGGTTAGATGCTCTTGGAGGGAAACATACTGAAATTAAGTGCTTACTGTTGTTCTGAAATGCACTTTTGAATTGGAAATACACCTTGACAAATTTATTCTTATAACAAGATGCGCAGACTTCAAGTTTGTGGGATCTGAGAACCATCAAACAGGGCAAGGTACAAAATAAGGGCTCAAGTGCTAAGAATTAAGGAATTGGGTGGCCCAGGAATTTGTGATAAGTACTAGAGCCAAGCTTGCCATGTCCTTCAACACAACAATGCACTGTTGGTTTCTCCCCAAACTTTTAGTGAAATGTGAGCGGGTGGTGGTGAAGCCCTTAGTCATTACTGTTAGCAGACAATTGCGAGATGTAAATGCTTGCTGATCCACTACAAATCATTAGGCCTACCTTCTACCTATCCCCAACTTAGAGGAAAGCATTAACAGAGCCTTGGAGGATTTGGGCATGTATTACAATAGAGAACCTGCAAACAGGGCTACCCCCCCCCCAAAATGGGGGTAACTGATGACCCACATGTGGTCCCTCTGTTGCTGAAACTTGTGGCAGCAGTAGAAAAAACATTGGCTGGCATTTTTCAGTGCCTCGTGGATTATGGCCTGTGGAGAAAGTCACGGAGTGAAAATATCCCCACCCCACCCCAAACACACACAGTTGCCCATCCCTCATCTAAAACTAAACCAAAATTGGTCATCAAATTACTGTCACTGAATTGTCAGGCCTTCTTGCAGAAACTGCTAGTGCAGAGTAAAAAATCCATGGCTCTACAGATGTGAGCCAGCTTCCCACTATGGCCCCTGTATTAGCCATGCTAACTACACCTACTGAGAGTTACACTTAAAAAAATTTAGCCAGAGGAGATTTCCATCTACATGGCTGAATTACGTATTTGCTCTGTTGCGAGGGTCTAAGAACCACAGAGATTGAAGGCTGGAAGCAGCCACTACTTTGGTTGCTCTTGCCTGAGGACTCTCGTTTCTCTTTTGCTATCCTGGGTTTGAATAACTGGAGAAGTCAGTTAAACAATAGACCATTGATTTTCTCTCTGTGGTTTCAGAAAACTAATCCTATCACACAGGAACTCTATAGCTGGGTCTGGATGATGTAACAGACCTATTACCGTAAGATTCTCACGTCTGAATCCACCAACGCTGGCAAGGTACCACTCTCATATCTACTCAAGAACAGGAGGTGGCAACTCATACTGACCTGGCACTGTTTTTGGGGTCTTGTGTCATCAGGCAGGATAGAAGCCTTTGTTACCTACTTGGGAGGCCACTCTGTTGCAATCCTTATTGCAAAAGGCCAGGAAGAAAAATTAAAATCCTAGCTCCTGAAGTGAACAGTTTGGGGCTCACCGAATCCTGAAGACTGATACATGACTCAGAACCAGAGCTTTTGACTCAAAGAATAGCTCAGCAGAGATTGCCATATTTAAAGGGAGAGGCTTCCCAGAAAGCAAAACACCCCTCCTTTGTTCTCTAGAAAAGAACAACTCACAACACATGCATCTATCCACTTCATAATCTGAAGTGAATAGCAATTTAGAAAATAGGATGATTCTAAATATTCTAAGACAATTGCCAGTTTCTGTAGGACTCAGAAGGAGCAAATGATAATAACGGAAAGGAATGGGGTCTCTCAAGTTAATTTAAAACCAAGGAGACTGGTCTTCTAGGCTTTATTACATTACAGCTATATCCTGCCCCATTTTCTCTTACAAAGTCCCCAAGGTTAAACCACCTTGGGGACTATTTGCAATCCCTATTTATTCTTAAAACAAGCCTGAGAAGAAACTTAGGCAGTGAATGACCCAAAATCACCCAAGTGGGGACTGAGTGGGGACTAGTACCTGACTTACCTGAGTTTCAGTCTAGCATTCCAACCACTACACTTCAGTGGTGGTTACTAGTGCAGCAGTTAGAAGGCAAAAGAGTGTGCAAGTGCTTTACCAGCTCAATGAGGAGAGTGTAAGGTGTAAGCTGAAAAATCTATACCAGCGTGGAGGGAAACAAGTGGCATTCTCTAAAAGAGCTTTACAGACTATAAAGAATTCCTTTGGACCAGTCAAGTTACTGAGGATCCTATTTTTCATTGCTGCTGAATTCTTGGCAGTAACTATTTTAACCAATATAATCCTGTTCCTCATTTATATGTATTTGATAGGCATTTAAAGTGCCTAGTTAAAGCGCAGTCAAATGCTCTTGGAAATTCTTTTCAGCTCTCTGGTTTGGGAAGCCAGACACCCTCTTACTTCACAAATTCATAAAATCATTGCTCAGAGTTAGCTAAATAAATTTGAGATAAGACACATGTTTGTATTAAAGTTCACACAAACATATTTCATAATTTTTATTGATGGCATTTATCCCATGGTTTAACATGTTAATTATACTGTAATAAACATGGCTTTAATATTAAACTTTTCCTTATTATCCAAAGTCACCAGAGTCCATTTCCGTAAATATAAAAATATATACTTAACACTTTGTACAATACTGGTTTTTGGTCCAAACAAAAATGGATCAGAAAAGCCAATAAACTCACTTTAAGAATTCCCAATTTGAAAGGTTTTTTTTTTTTTAATGGATTTAGGCAACTTTGAATAATGAGATTTACATAATAAAATCTGAGACAATACTAAACAAAAATTTGCTGTAACACACAAAATTAAAATTTCAAGTTCACAGATTTGTTATGCCAAAGTACATAGAGAAACAGAATTGTATTTACACATTTGTTTCATAATAAAATAATGAAAAGGCGAGACAGGTGATAAGGAGCGGTAAGAATGAAAATAGAAAGAGCATATAATTATCGAATGAAGTACTACTGATCTAACTAGTCCTTAGCATGGACCATTCTTTGATCATTCTTCCTCTATCAGAAAAATTTAGTGCACAATACACGCAACTCGCTCACTTCACACGTACATCAGCACAAACTCTGTAAAGAAATCATTCATTATCCACATTCTCTACTCTATACAGACTCCCCTCTCTGATATAATTACAAGTTCGAGGTGTCAGTAAACGCAGATGAGAGTACAAAGTGGTGCAAACAGAGGTATTATACGAAGCCATTCGCTGTGCAGGCTATATTTATAACTATAGCCAGACCATGCCAAGTCACTGAAGAAAAACTGCTGGATTCGAAGAAGTTTTGCTCTCAAAATCCTCCCTGCCACCAACTCTAATTAAAAAAAAAAAAAAAACCAAAACCTATATGGGGAGGGAAAAAGCGAGCAGAGTTTAGGCAGACCTGGCTTCAGCTAAACCCAGCATGAGGTACAATTCAGTAATTGAACAATGCAGGGTGACCAGCTGTGGTAAGAGAGTTGCTGTCTGTAACAATCATTAATATTTTATTTTCTACGTCTAACAGCTGTCTTTATCTTCCGACCAGGCACTGATGATCCAGGCACGGAAAATATATTTTTCCCGTTATTCCTGCATTGGAAGGGGAAAAAAAAATAAAAGTAAGAAACTTCGCATATGTCTGAAACTTCTTAATATTATGGAACAAATATGAAAAACACCCTGTAAAAAAGTCACTTGTGTGAGTTTTCTGTAGATGTTTTCTTAAGGACACCATTTTCTAGAGAATCTGCCTTTCACTTAATGGTGTCTCAGTCTGAACTTTTGTTTCAAGGATGACAAAGCTGAAAAGCTTAAGGCCATCAACAAGTATTTACTGTTTTGGTCATAAAACACTAATGCATTTCTAATAGCAACAACAATAACAATTAAATTTATATTGCATTTGTACACTCGTTAGAAACTACATTTTTTTCTAAGCATCACTATTTAGCAGCCTGGAACTATAATGGAAGTAATGGTTTGAAAATTACTTTCACATGCCCCCAAAAACATGGATTCTAAGATGATAGTGTGATAATCTATGGAAAGTTCTTAAACTCCTTCTTACCCCAGGTTGAATGATGAAGGCTGGGTGAATGAAAATGCTGAAGAGCCTGCAGGCTGTGCTGGATTTACACCAGGAGTTGCACCAAAGGTAAATACTCCTGGGTTGTTGCCTGTGAAGTTGAAATTAGCAGTACTACTTCCAAACTGGAACACACCACCTAAAAGAGTGAACACTGAACCTTAATCTCTCAAGAACAGCTGGATTACAGAGGATTCTCATGTGCAAGTATAGCTGTTGGCTCAGTGCTAATTAGTTGAACACCACAACAAGATTCCAGAGCTATTAAAAGTAACACCATCTGTCCTTTAGAGCCAATTGATATGCTGAATTTTAAGTCTAGAGAACCACACCAGTTGAAGAACAGTATTTCTTTAGCAAGAAATCCCAAGGCCATATAGCAAACCCTTTTTTGAAAACTGGGGGAGCTTCATAAGTAGTTTCTATGGCAAAAGGGTTTTTTTTAATCACACTGGGTATGAGAGAGCTGGTGTGCTGGTGAGTGCTGGACTGAGGATCTGGGAGATTCAGGTTGTAGACCACCCCCCCCTTTATCCATGAAGCTTACTGGGTAACTGGGCCAGTCACACACACTCAGCCTAACCTACCTTACAGAGTTGATGCTGTAAGGCTAAAATGAAGCCGTGTAACCATTTGTTTATTACATGAGTACAAAAGTGGAATGTACATATAATGGAAGAAATAATTCAAGTCCATAGGCATACCCTATATTAAGTCTATGGATCCTAGCTAACTCTCTCAAAATGTATTCTGTGGTATGCTACACAATAAATCTTATATCCAAAACATCCTGTTGGGTGAACTTTTGATTGAAATGTATAAAGTATAAAACCCAAGCATCTTCAGAAAATAGTAGATTATGAAAACAAAGCTGTTTTTGAATCGGTATCTCAACTCTGTGTATGCATGTTTGTGTGTGTGGTTTTTTTCTGGGGGGGGGGCAAAGTCAACGTCTTTCTGTCTCTATATGAACATCACACTTCCCTGTATTCACTGTCTCATTGTGATTTTCTTTAATCAAGACTGACAATCAACCTTTAAAACAAAACAAATCAATTTCTGAACACAGAGAAACAGGAATATTTCGTGTTTATCAACGTTATGTCAACTGTGTAGTTGGCCGGCACCTCTGCATAAAAGCGATGCTTGAACTACAAAATCACTTGTATAGAGCATGTTGATGTTTCAGCATCTGTCCTGGCATTTCATGGAAAGTATATTCAAAACAGAGGCCAGTTCACACTACTGAAAGTGTAACTATTAATCAATTGTTCTTTTGTCCAATTGTATAATCAATTTTATGCTATCACACTTTTCAAATCAATAGTTACTTGCAACCAGAATTCAATATGCAAAATGTTTATTTCATGAGGTATTCATGATACTACAGAAAGAGTAATGTGAAAAGAGGATCGAAAAAGGGGTAGAACAACCTAGGCATAGTTCTGCTGGAACACAGCAGGCTACAGCATGAGACCTGTAGAATCTGCACTTACCAGAATTAGGAGCTGTACCTGAGCCAAAACCAGGCTGTTGGCTGGCTTGCTGTCCAAAGATGGGAGGCTGGGTACTGCTTGACACAGACCCAAATGTTGGAGGCCCAGCCTGAGAGCCAGTAGGAAATAATGAAGATGAGGAGAGTGATCCAAAAGTTAGAACAGGAGATTGGCTGGAGCCTTGGCCTTGTCTGAAGGCTGGTGTCTGACTGGCACCAAATGCTGGACCAGTTGGAGGAGCTGAAGACCCAGAGCCAAACACAAATGAAGAGGAGGAACCTATAAAAGCAAGCAAGCAGGATAAACTTGAGGACTGTGTGGTACTTAAGAATCTAGCCATTCAGAGATAATCTAGTATAAAGTAGATGTTTATTTCTAATATCTTTCTAATATATATTTTGAAATTTGAAATACCTGAAATGGCCAATAATCATATCTGCTGTTTTAATAATGTGGATTTGCACTAGGAGTTGCTGTAGCTGCTAGTGCAAATCCAGGGTTATTCTAAGAATGTCCTTTTCTACAGATATAACAGAACCCATCCCAGTAAACTCCTTCCTATGGTGTGCACATATGAACATTTCAACAGGACTTTATGCAACTGCTTGATGGGAGAGAGTAGCTCTCAAATGAACTTTTAATGTCTAGAACACAGAAGTAACCATTCTAACAGGCACTTAAATTTCTGAGGTTAGAAACAACAGTGATGGTGGTTGTACAAGCAGAGAAAGAAACAGGCAGCATACAGTGCAGACATTTGGAGGCAGTGTGTGGAAGGCAAGAAAGGTGGTGAAAAGCAGCAGCACTGGGTAAGTGGAGAAGGTGTGCAGCCATTTTCAAAACTTGCACAGTGGCATTTGAAGCATGAACATAATGTCTCCAAGTCTGGAGCATACCTGTAGGAGCTGCTGTTGTGGTACGTGCTGCAAAACTGAAGCCCGTGTTGGCTGTGCTGTTAGTGGTGGGTACTGTACCAAAGAGAAATGGAACAGGGGTGCTGGTACTGGAGGTGGTTGTTGGTGGCTTGCTCTCTTGAGAAAAGCCAAAGGATTGTGATGTACTGGAGTCAGAGGGATTACCAAATGCAGAGCTGCTCACAGTGTTGCTGGCCTGTCCGAACAAAAACGTTGGTGCAGGAGTTGAGGAAGAGGAGGTGGTGGTGCTGAATATGCTGTTGCTGCCACCACCAACAGAACCACTTGGCACAGCAGTGTTTGAAGAACTAGCGCTCAGGAAACTGAATGCAGGCTTTGCTGATCCTGGATCTGAAAGTGAATGTAATTAGATTAGTTGAGAAAAAGTACAAAGTAAAAACCAGGAGTGCATCTATGGATAACTGAACAATGTCCAAATATCAGAAAACGCATTTCTGTAGTTTTGCAGAAATGACAGTCAAATAATTCACTGCCTAGCGAGAAGCAATATTAAGATTTATTTATTGTATTTATCTCTAACCTTTTTCCTGCAAGGAATCCATGGAACTTTTCAGAATTCTCCTCCTCCTCCTATTTTACCCTCAGAAGAACCCTGTGAGGTAGGTTAAGATTCAAGTGACTGGCCAAAATTGTTCAGTAAAGCTTTGTGGCAAAGTGGGGACTAGAACCAGATTTCTCGAGTCCTAGTCCAACCACAACACCACATTAGCTCTTTTTGCATTGACTTCAAAGTAATAAAAGGCTTCAGAGGTATATGTGCAAGGATCCATGAAAACATTCCACTAAGAATTCTGGAAATGTTCTGTACACATAGCATCATGAAGATTAGGATATCTATCAATCTCATCTTAGTAAATTGAGAAGAAGTGCTGTATTTGCTTGTTTCCTTCTCTCCTTTCTCATGTTCCATAATGCAAAACTGTCAGGTTTGGTTAACAAACAATTCCCTGTTATGCCTATCAGGAAGTTGTATTTTAATCTCTGAGTGCAAACTGGGATATGAAACTTCACATCCTGATTTCTAAGAAGACACAAAGCTACAGTTTATATCTGAAAGGAGAAACAGAGAATGGTGGATTATGGAACACAAAACAAAGGATGAAGAGGAAGGGGAAGAGAGACTCAATAGGCACATCACCTGTTTTAATAAGCTATATTTGTGATTATGGCTAAACTGGGCCATGGAGCTACACTGGGCTGTTCAACTGCCATTCTCTTTACTTCCTTTGTGTGACATGAAAACAGACTATCATAGATGGTAGTTGTGCTCTTATTTCTGGGCATAAAAAAAGATTGGAAAAGCTTTGGATGAATTTTTCAACTGCTCTAGCACCACATCTTAGTGGTATTCAGTAGAGGCAGGGCATACATTAAGACTGCACAGGGTCCCAAGTCAATTTATTTTCTTGCTTTCATATTTCTCATTCTTTTCCCTTCTGTTTCTTCTCCACTGTTCCTTTATTGCCTATACTCTACCTCTGCCTTAGCATTCCTTGTGCTGACATTTATTTTGTACCACAGCTCTTGCTCCTGTGACACTTTAGGTTTTTCCTGAGGTTCTTCTGTCTCTAGCCACATCTTGAATTTTCCCTCATCTTCACATTCACCCTTTGAATATGCTCTCTGTTCATTCTTAAAAAGGAAAGCAATACTCTCTGAGGAGAAGAGAAACGGAACCGCTTCATCAGCTGTGCTAAAAGACTGGCTCCATCAGGCACCTCCTCTCCCTGAACTATTTCTGACTGGTCACTGTAAAATTAGGTTGCTCACCTGTAACTATTGTCCTTTTAGTGTTCATCTGCACATTCACAGATATGGGATTTGTGCCTGCATGGGACCTGTTGTCAGGAAGATTTCCAAGCTAAACTCATTCTGGCAGGAATCCCTCTCCCTGATATATTTAGGAAAGATCCCTGCCCTTTTCCTCAGTTCTTTCAAGACTGACAGAACCAGCAGGAGGCCAGTGAATGGCTGACCTGTTCCATATGTTATAGGCCCAAAGAAAATTATGTTAATGAAGCTATCAACACCAATTCGGGTTCAGTGGATGGAATGTGTGAATGCACAGATGACCAACTAAAGAAGGCTAGCCTTACTTTCTTCTTCATGGTCTTTGTGCATCACAAATATGGGTGACTAGTGAGTATACTTCGAGACAGAGGTGGGCAGGGGTCAGCAGAAAATTACCGATAGGACTGCTTGACTGAAGGAGCATTGAGCTGGTACTGCTGGATGAAGGTCGAGGTAGTGGACCATGTCACTGCTCTGCAGAGGTCCTGCAGTGGGATGCTACTATGCAGCACTGTAGAAGCCACCATTGCCCTGGTAGAGTGTGCTCTGGGTCACTTCGGAAACTGCAGTCCAGAAAGCTGGTAGGTCAGCATGATGATTCTGACAATCCAGTGTGCAAGCCTCCAAGGGCGAACCAACTCAACTCTGGAATGTTCACCATAACATACAAACAGTCTTTGGGACTGGTGGAAAGGCTCAGTACAAGACTAATAAAACACCAGCGCCCTGCAAACATCCAGTGTATGCAAGGCATATTCCATTGTGTGCAATGGCATCAGGAAGAATGCTGGCAAAATAATGTCCTTTGGGAGGAATAATAGGTTGAGCCGCAGGACTACCTTATCCCTTGGAAGGTTATGAACGATGGATCGATGTGCAGAGCACAAAGCTCACTTGCCCACCTGGCCAACATGATCACCACTAGAAAGGTCACTTTTCAACAAAGCAGGTTAAGTCTACTGTGGGCAGAAGCTCGAAGGGTGGCTTTGTGGAAGCCTGCATGACCACTGACAGGCTCCATCCTGGCAAAAACAATCAGGGATGAAGAACAAGGTTCTGCAGTCCTTTCATAAAGCAAAGGGACAATGGATGTGAAAAAGATGGAGAAGCCACTGACTATTATGCAGAATGATACTGCTGCCAGCTAAACTTTGATGGAGATTGGTTCCAAGCCTCTAGAGTGTAATGTATGGAGGAAGCCGAGGGTCTGGTAGTCGAACACTCAATACGGATTGAAGGCTTCATGTTGGGCAAAGGTGGCCCAGGCATTCCATTTCACTGTGTGGGAATGCCTCATATTTGGTCACAGGGCTGCAACCAGGATTTCCTGGTTCTTGAAATGGAGAGTGGACGCCATGCAATGAGATGGATGGTACTGACATCTGGATGAAGGATCATCTCTCACTCCCAAAAGATAATGTCCAATCTTGACGAAAGTTGCATAAATTTTCTGTTGGACAGGTGCAGGAGGTGTGCAAATCACACCTGCTAGGCCCACCATGGTGTAATCAGAATGCAATGGATCTTTGCTAGCACTCTGATAAGCAGAAACAATGGGAACAAGTAAAAGAGTCTTTTCCCAATGGAGAAGAAATGCCGCTCCCATGGAGCCCTGGCTGGTCCCAGCTCAGGCGTAGAAGCTGCCGCACACTGCATTGCTCCGAGTGGTGAAAAGGTCTATCAGTGGGGTGCATCAGGCCTGGGAAAGCTACTCAGTGACTTCTGGATGCAGCTCCCATTCATGAGCCCCTTTGGGTCTTCCTGCTCAGGGCATCTGTTGTGATATTGATGGTCCTGGCTAGGCAAATAGCTATGAGGGTAATGCATCTTAAAAGGCACCAATTCCATATCTGTATGGTCAGTCATGTCAGGGATGCGGAGTATGTGCTGCCTGGCTTGTTCAGGTAAAACACTACCATGGTATTGTGACTTGAACTTGCTTGTTCCCAAGATGAAGCTGGGATGTGATCAGCGCTTTCTGAACTGCAATGAGCCTGAGATAGTTTATGTACTCCCTTTGGTCCCGAGCTGTCCATACGTCATGAGTTCTGATCTTGTCACAGTGCATTTCCCATCCCAGGCACAATGCATCCAGGGTCAGTATGGAGTCTGGTTCCCACAACATGTCTGGTTTGACAAGTCTGCCAACCCAGGCTTGCCTGTACCAAATGTGGGATCACCAGATGCTTCTGGACTGAATCATGTTGAGATCAATAGACAACCACAAACCATGGCTGGAGAGGCCACATCTGTAGCCAGGCAAATGGGACAACTGCGACCATCAATGCCAGAAAACCCAGGAGTCTCCATACTTGCTGCACTGTTGTCCTGGGGGCAATGCAAAGCCATGAGCAGAGGTCAGTCAACATCACTGCTGTTGGCTGGAGGATAGACTCTTGCTGTCAACACATTAAGTCTTGCCCCTGTATAGATGATTAATTGGGAAGGAGAGAGGAAAGATTTCACACTGTTAATGCAAAGTCCCAGCGTTCCAATGAGGTGACAGACTGAGTCCAGGAATTCATCTTAGGATGGAGCAACCAGCAGCTTGTCATCCATGTAGGAAAAACCTGAAGGGGAGGGTGGTATGCTGGTGATGGCACCCTAGGGTCCACTCCTCCTCTTTCTTTTCCATGCTGGTGGTAGTATGACAGAAACAGTATAGTTCTTACTCCCAATTTGGCAGAAGGGACCTGGAACACTCCCTCAGTCAGCGGTTGGGGGTACGAGATGGTGCCAGTGAGTAGCTGCTACCCCAGTGTGGAGAAAGCCTGGTGGCTGGAACTGGTGAAGGGATCACAGTCAGTGGTTGCTGGCATGGGGAAAACAGGATCCTGTACAGGGATACCACTGACAGTGAGCAAGTTGGAGTACAGGGTAGCAAGTCCCTGACCTCCCTTTCAGAGAAGGACTGTGTCCTCCTAGACAGAGTTGGCACTGGTTCTGGCACAGATGGCAGCAGTGGGAAATGTTGTCTAAGTCATTTTTTGTGTTTCACCTTCCCACATCTGCCATCTTTTAGCTTTCTTCACCAGTTTCTCAGCCCAGTGGGCCTTTTCTGTGTGTCCAGGAGTAGACAGGATGAGCAGAGAGTCCCTAGCTTGGCTTTAGTCACCCAGCTTGATTTTTCTGGGCCTGCCTTGTGAAATCCTGGCAGTGCAGGCTGACTTCCACAAGATGCCCTTCTTCACAACAGAACAGGCACAAAGACAACTCCCAAAAGAAACATACTTCTGAAAAGGTATCCTGAGTCCCATCAGCAGAAAAGCAGAAATATACGAAGAAGAGCAGAAGCAAAGACAGATGATAAGATGGATTTGTGTGTGCGCGCACGCACGCGCATGCACTTTTTGGAGAAAAAGGCAAGCAGAGGTAAAGTAGGGTCAAAACAAGAATTGAGAGGATAGTGAAAGGCTAACAGCAAGTTCAAACACAAGACAAAGAAGGTGTTAAGGAACAGTGAAAGGTGGTAAGTCCTGAGATACCCACAATGGTGGCCAGAAGAGAACTGGGGGAGAGAGCAGGAACCATTCCTAGATACACTAGGTGCAGGGAAGGGAGGGGTTATTGCCAGAACAATTCTATAGCTTGGAAATCCTTCTGACAACAGGCACAGAGTCCATTGTATGATGTACAGAAACCACAAAGAGGAACTAATTAATTTTAAGACTGCTGCTGGAGATTGCTCTGTTCCATCTTGTTTTCTTTTCTGTCATGTAAGTTTGCGGCCTTCTCTTGTTTTTACTGACTTCATGTAAGCAGCTTTTTGAAACCTTTTAGCTGAATGTAGGGCAGAAATGCCATCCATCCATACATACATAATCCCCCTTCCTAGGTAACTTATTTTTCTCCTTCTATTTTAGACATTTTCAATGGGCATTTTGACTGAATTATTTTCTTCTCTGCTAGTTGTTTTTAACAAGTTTCAGTCAGAATTTCACCTTCATCCTTGTCACTTTTACTGAAAAAAATGCACCAGAATTACATATGATGAGGCTGCTTCAATGGTGGCTGAAAGAGAACTGATGGAACAAATAAAACGCCACTAGGGCAATGTGCTCTGGGAAAAACTCTTTAGCTACAGACGGTTCCTAATGAGGACCCACACAGGAAGAGAGCCCATATGTATAATGCACAGAAACCAGAAAGAAAACCACTAGTTTTAACTTGGTTAATCATTCTATTCTTCTCCGGGCAATATCCAGCATGAGCCATCTACCAGTGCTAAACAATCAGTAACACAGCAGAAAGCTAGCACTTGGTAAGTTCTACTAATCGTTCCATTTTAGACGCTCTAGTTTGAGCTTGTTTCCCAGGGTTGTATTATCATTCCCACTATTGCAAGGGCAGTATTATGTTTCTAATCTATGATTCTGTGTTAGCTTGTTTAAGGTCTTACCTTTTTATCATTTTCACTATTTTTCATAGTTGTCTGTACTCTTCTTCCTCTCCTTTCTTTAGTTGTCCCCCAGTGTCCTGATATATAATCTAATGTCTTTACTGCGAATATTCTTCTGCTTGCTTTCCTTATCTGTGTCTTTTTCCTAAACTGTCACTTTTACCTTAATGACTTTCAATTCCTTGCTCTGTTCATGATCTTATCTCTTCGCTCAGTATTTGTGCATGCCTCACAGGATATACTCTTATTAAAATTATTGAAAATCAAATCCACTAGTTTTCCTTTTGCCTCTTCTTTCTTGTTCTCCTTCATTGCATCATTTCTTCACATCTACATCTGAATTGTTTTTTTTTAACCAAATACAATCACTAAGTCATGCGATTATCAGTTCTTAGCTCTAACAACAGTCTTCTCTTTTTACCAATAAAATAGGGACAGTGTTTCATTCTTTTATTCTTGGTCACTGTAATGTTCTATATTCTGGTCTTCCTGCTGCTGCTTTAAAAAGATTTGCTCTCAGTTCTGCTGCTCATTAGATCTGTTCTGCACATTGCTTTGACATTTTTTCCTCTTGTCCAGTGTCTATATTGCCTTCCTCTTCAATCTTGTATCTATTATAAGCTGGTACTAAACTCTGTGTCTTCATTCTCTTGCTCCTTGCTATCTTTCTCCCCTTTTAATAAATAATAATACAGTAATTGCAACACCTTGATGTTCTGTGATCATTTTCCTGATGTTAATTCTTTAACTAGGGAGTAAGGTAGCTCCCATGAAATGACTATATGTGTGAAAAACATTATATACAAATTCATTCTTTTCACTCAGTCTATTATCCAAGTTTGTTTCCTTTTCCAATTTTCCTACTTTCTAATTAGGATTAGCTATTTTACTAGTCAAAATACTTGATCAACTTACTATTCAAACAATTCTTCAATATAACTGGTTGAATAACAATCAAGAATTTAAAGCATTAATTCAGCACAGCTATAACAACAGAAGAGATATCAATGGAAAAAAACACAGTTAACTCAATAAAATTAAGTATGTATTGTAATCACTTATTTATAGCCAACTATTTTATGCATATATGCATGTCTGTCAACATTGTGCATGAGAGTGAAGAGTTTTTAGCTATTATGTTCAATTATTCTGTTTGTAAACCATGCTAGAAACTGCATTTCAGGATAGTATAGAAATTAATAAATGTTTTTCTATTTCAAATACACTCAGCACTATGAAGATCCAAGGACACTCCTGACCTCATGGAATATTTAGCCAGGTAATAGGTGGACAACTGAATATTGCCGCAACCCTAATAGAAACTGTATCATTTCTGCTTATCTCTACAAGCTGCTTATCATATCTTAAGGATACAAAACCTGAAATGGCTCCTATTCCATAACTAAAACATATCCATAAAAGTAATTTTAGATACTTCCATGCAGACTAGAAGCCCAGCCTTTCTCAATATGGTGCCCTCCAGGTGTAGATTACAACACCCATTATCCCCAACTAGGATGGTAACTGGCTGGCTACAGATCATGGAAATTATCCTCCAACTTCATATTGCACCCTACTGGGGAAGGCTGCAGTAGCCAAACATCATAAACTCTCCTCAGATTAACTTAATCTATGACTTATTTTAGTTTGTGGCGTTCTAGTAATAAAACCACAAATATTAGTATACTGCAACATTTTCCTGAGCATGTCAGAAGCTGGCACAAGTGGGACAGAGAGCTCCACTGCAGTGGGGAGGAAATTTCTATGCAGAGAAGACGGAACTCCCTTCTCTGCCAGTCAGCTCACTCAACTGCATGCAATTCTTGAATACAAGGATAGATTAATGTCAGAATTCTTATCTATTTTTTTCCCCAGAATTTCAATTTAGAAAACCAAACAGACTGTTTCAAAGCATCAGACTGCCACGCTACCTAGGGCCTGCACTGAATCCTTCAGCCAGCAGCCATCCTAGATTCCACATGAGCTGAGCAACCCGTATATGAAGGTAATATCCCATGCGGGACACTGGGATGTTGTCCAGAGTCCCTGCCTTCTTCAAGATGACTCCTAAATTTTATTGGAAACAGTTTGGCAACCTTTCAGCAAATGGGGAGCCATTAAAAAGGTAAAGGTAAAGGCTTCCCCTTGACATTAAGTCCAGTCATGCCTGACTCTAGGGGGTGGTGCTCATCTCCGTTTCCTAGCCGAGGGAGCCAGCGTTTGTCCATAGACAGTCTCCGTAGTCTTGTGGCCGGCATGACTAACCACCAAAGTGCACAGAACGCTGTTACCTGCCCACCGAAGTGGTACCTTTTTATCTACTTGCATTTGCATGCTTTCGAGCTGCAAGGTTGGCAGGAGCTGGAACGGAGCAACGGGAACTCACCCCGTTGTGCAGATTCAAACCGGCGACCTTTCGATCAACCAGCCCAGCAGCACAGTGGTTTAAACCACTGCACCACCTGCAATCTTCAAAACAATAAAGGAAAGCAAGGGATAATTTTAGGGGTATGTGTCAGTATTCCCACAGACTCCTTTTAATCGTATGTCTCATAAATGACCTGCCAACTTAATTTTACAGAATCATATGAAAGTCAAGCAAGATACTAAAGTCTGAATACAGAAGCAACTTTTGTACCTACCAGCAGCATTTGCTTTTGCTCCAAATGTAAAAGTTGGCTTTGTTTGTTGTTCAGCTTCTTTTTCCACTGGTTTTGCCAGGCTGAAACTGAATGCAGTTTTTACTGTGCCATCATCTTTGGTTTGTTCTGCTTTTCCAAATGAAAACACAGATTGTGCCTTTGTCTCTTCATTCTCTGACTTTTTTCCAAACACTAATGGATTAGAAGGGGCATCAGACTCCTGTTTTTCATCTGTCCTTCCCAAAACGAGCTGTGGAACAGTCATGGATTCCATATTACCAAAAGTGAAGCCACCTTTTGTTGAAGGAATTTCATCTTTTTTCCCCTCTGTTGTTTTGGAGGAAAATGGGCTTAATGTAACTTCCTTTTCTTCTGAATTTCCAAACGTGAAGCTACTTATTCCAGTTTTATTCTCAGATGCAGCTGTAGAAGTTGTGGAGCCAGTACCAAAGGTAAAAGCTCCTACAGCAGGCTTGTTAGGTCCTTCTTTCTTCTCTTGCTGTCCAAGGTTAGCTATTCCAAATTGAAATGATGTAGTAGATGTAATGCTAGCTCCAGAGGGAAGTCCAAAGCTGAAAGTGCTGTTATTCTTGCTATCTTTCACACTATCTTCTGATTTAGATTCTGAAGGAAAGCTTCCCAGTTTGGAACTCTCATTTTTAGAAAATTTAAAATCTCCTGCTACAGTGTTTGTTGATGATCCCAGTTCTGAAGTGATACCAAATTTGAATCCTGTTTGTTCTCCAAATTTAAAGTTTTTTCCTGCATTTCCCAATATTGGATGTGATTCTGAAGATGATGACTGAATACCAAACGTAAATGAAGGAGCGGATGGGGCTGAAGTAGTAGTAGTAGTTGTAGTAATAGTAGTACCAAAACCTGAAATCAAAATATAACAAGTCTGTTACACACATAATTGAAATCTTTTATAAAATAGTCTTCCATGAGCTGGTGTACTCCAAATTAGTAGGACTACAACTATTATCATTCAGGGGATAATGGAAATGTTAGTCCAAATGTTAGGGCACCAGGTTAGGCAGAAGTTCCCTTGCATCCGCAAGCCCACCAACATTTTTTTCCTCTGCCAGTAAATGAAGTAACTCATCTATCTATCTATCTATCTATCTATCTATCTATCTATCTATCTATCTATCTATCTAAACCATTTTTATGCCGCCCCATTCGCAAAAAGCCTCGAGGCGGCTTACAAGAATAATAAATAAGCATAAATAAACAGTTTATACAATTAGAGTTAAAAAACCGGAAACATCTCGGCATGTACATAAAAACCCCATAAATACAATTCCTAAATTAACAATTAAAATAACTTTTAAATAAAAAGGTCTTGGCCTGGTGCCAAGAGGAAAAAAAAAATCCTTCTTGTACAAGTAAATGGTTGGAGGCAGGCAAATAAGGACCTTTGGTGGTGGGTGGCCTCTATTCCCCTCTCCAAATGATTTTTGTCAGATGGACTTTTCTGCTCCCTATATAAGAAGCCTAGGGAGAGATTCCTCATAGGCTTGCACATGGAAAGAAAAAGCCCCACTGTCAAAATAAGTCTGGAAAGAAAGAAAGAAAAATGAGGAGCTAGAGAGACAGGAGGATGGAAGGAAGACGAAATAGGGGACAGTGAGAAATGAAGAATGAGTGCCAGGAGAAGAAAAATCCATAGGAGGGGTGCGGGGAGAGATAAAGAAGCCAGAGCAGTTAGTGTGCACTCAAAGGATGTACATCATACACACATGCAAATAGGCACTTTTAATGTTTTTTAATTGTCCCTCCCACTCTACAGCAATCAATTTGTGGTGGCACCCAGAGCTCTTTTCAAAATGTCAAATCCATATATGGGTCCAAAAAGGTTGGAGACCCATAAGGTAAGGAAAGGCTAGTATAAAGAAACCCTCTTAAGTTTTAATTACTTCATTAGTCAATCATCAACACCGGCTAAAAATTTCCTTGGCTGTAAAAATAATAATTTCTTTCTAACAATATAACCTCTCTCTTCAATCATCATAGGAACCAATAAGCAATGCATTCTAGATTACTGATATGCTCACAGTAAGAAATACTGAGAAACATAATCTCAAAACCAGGATAAACATATCTTCCTCAATATGTTAGAAGAGGTATCATCACACCTAATGTGAGGCGAATGCTGAAATATGTAAATGTTTATTAGGACAACTGCTTTTTAAACATTATCTGGGAAGCAGGAATATGATTTAGTCAACTCATGCTGAGTAACAAAAGATAGCCAGCGTGGTATAGTGGGTAAAAGTGTGGGACTGGGACTCATGAGACCTGAGTTCTAGTTCCTGCAAAGCCATGGAGCCAACTGGGTGACTGTGGCCTAGCCATAAACTCTCAGCCCAACCTACCTCACGTGGTTATTGTCAAAGGGATGAAACTGAGAGCAAGAAAATAATTGTGTATGCTGCCCTTTACCTTGGAAGGGAAAAGGTGGGATGTAAATAAATAACAAAACAAGGAAAAGCAGATTGCTGAAGGGAGTCTATGTAGGAGAGGACATCTCACCCAGGAATGCAGGAAAATCCTGATTTTGAGGAGAGAAAAATCTTGCTACCATGATTCATGTTTTTCTACTATTTTAAATTAATTTTAATAGTTGTCAATGTTTTTTATTATATTTTATTGTTTTATATTTTGTTGTAAACCAACAGAGAGCTTCAGCTGTGAGCATTTATTAATTAAATAAATATAATAGTAGTAATAATACTATGAACCCAAAAGATCCTTAAAATGCAAATGGGAAAGCATTCTCATAGTTAGAAGAATCACAGGATAAATCAAATGTGCGTCCATGGCAGATATGGTCTCTGCTGCTTTGCTTCCTTGGAATGTACACCCAGATGTGGTTCTCACCACTCATTCACAGCTGGATGGGAGAACCAAATGTTCCTTACATTGAAAGAATATAATCTAGTTGGACTAAACAGACATATACAGGAAGAAGGGGAGTAAAGAGAGAACATTTCCTCTCTTTTAGAAAAGGATATATAAGCTGGATGGGGAAATGCAGGAGAAAAATAGACAAACTGTGTATAAAAAAGTCTAAACTTGTTAACATACCTTTGAGTTCAATTTTGCTGCCAGGTTTTGCAGTCTCACAAGCTACACACTTCGAGGCATCTGCTTTGTTTTCTACTAAACAGGTTTCACAGTCCCAACTTCCCTCTGGTTTCTTGAATTTGTCTAAGCCCAGAAATCCTCCAGAAAGAGCAGGTAAAGAGGATGCACTGCTACTTACTACAGGAGCTGAACCCCCTAGGTTTAAAAAAAAATGGTATACATTAACATAAGCAAAAAGTGCATTTCAAGCAATTGCCATTTTACATAAAATTATGTAAAATCCAGCATAAAACATAAAATTCTCTGTTTCGGCAAAAGAAAATATAAATGGAATATCCATCATTCTAAATAAAGACTACTTAAGTAATTCAGTTTTTATGCTGATGTTTTTACAATACTCTAAAGCAACCCCCAGAAACCTGGTGTCCTCTGCATTTGTTGGACTATCTGTCCCATCACAGGTTAGGGAAGACTGCTCTAGAGACTCTGAAATGCAGTGTATGTAGATTTCAACATGTAGACAAAAAATGAAAGTGACAACACCCATGTAAAATTTGGAAAAAAAAAGATAATTCTTTCACAGGAGACAGTAATCATGCAATTTCCTGACTCATATACAAAATTTTAGGAATGGTTCGCGGCAGAGACAGAAGTTAAAGCTAGTTTCTTGCGTTGCGTTATTAACACTAAATCAATCTTTCCTCATGTGGTACCTATGATGTTTTGGACTACAATTTCCAACTTCCCTGATCACTCATCAAGCTGACAAGGGTTCATGGGAGTTGGAAGGTCTTGAAAGGCAGTCTATGTATGTATGTGTGTGTATAACACATGGATATCCATTTTTAATAGGCAAATGAGTCAAACATCAGTAAGGTGTCATTTTTTTCAACTTTTTCACAGGATACCCTAGGTTACCTTGTAAGACAATAGTATTTTTTTACTCTGACTAGGCCATATTCTGGAACTGCTTGGACTCTACTATTAAAATCCAAGAACTATTTTCTTCAAAAATTATACCATAATGATTACTGTATAGGTGAAATCCTCATGTGTTTTAATAGCTTGGGGTTATTGATTTGAAATAAGTTACAAATAGCTGCCAAAATTCTATATATTTCAGAAATATGGAATAATAAGTCCTATTTTCCTGCTACTTAAAAGTGATACTCTATAATCTGGCAAAGCAAGAGGATAAGATATTCCTTTTATCTTTCAACCCGTGATTCTAAATCAATTGTGATCAGAGTAAAAGTAACAATTCATGAGAAATTTAGTTTGTTGAATAAAACAGAATTTCAGATCCAGTGATCATTAATTTTTCATAAAGTATCAGAGAAATATAGAAGGGAACACTGCTCTTTACAGTACCTGTCCTGTTTACCTTCACCCTGTGACTTCCATTACTACCAAATAAGGCAGACCAATTTTGTCATTGTCCAAAGGTGATACAGCAGGCAAAGAGACTTTATATGTAAGAGTGGGCAGCCTCTTTT